CCTTCCAACGATGGCCGCGCTTAACTTCGCGCCCATCAACGAGGCACCTGCATGGATTTTTGGAAGGCCTTCCAGTTTTTAAGGCCATGTCAGGATCCAGGGATCATAGGCACCTACAGACACCTGTCTTCATGTTGCCATATGCCCCGTGCATTCTAAGCCGCCTGTGAGTTTGACAACATGAAAAGCAACCCAGTACTTAAATCTGCAAGCCCTAAACCACAGTGTGTGCAGGCACACACGGAGCTGGTCCGAGTCAAGGCTGTCATGGGGGCGGATGTGTCTTGGAGCTTTTGACGGAATGGGATTTGGTTTGGATCGTTTTTTTGCAGGACCGTTGGTTTGAGGTCCCTTCCAGCCAGCTGTTGCAAGGAAAGCCCTCCGCCACCAACCGCAACCGCCGCCGCCGCCGCCACCGCCACCGCCACCGCCGCCGCCGCCGCCACCGCCACCGCCACCGCCACCACCACCACCACCGCCGCCGCCGCCGCCACCGCCGTTCCCACCCGCCGCCCATACCACCACCACCACCACCAGCACCACCAGCACCACCAGCGCCACCAGCACCACCAGCACCACCAGCACCACCAGCACCACCACCAGAACCACCAGCACCACCACCAGAACCACCAGCACCAGCACCAGCACCGCAGACACCACTGCTGCCTCCGCCTCCGCCACGGTCACAGTCATGACCAAATTCTAAATCCCCAACGCCACCATAGGCAACACATCCAAGATTTGCAGGCAGATAGGGAATAAATGTATCTGTCGAACACGAGTCATGCTAAAGATTGAGATATGACACCAGCAGATGTCGTTTCGAGCAGGAACTGCGCTTGTCTTGAACCATGGAGCCTGCGAAGTCCTGGAAGTGCTGTAAGCTGCAAGAAGACCGATGAATTATGAATCCCTTGCAAGGCCTATAACTCCCCAATCTGAAGGATGGCGGTGGCTGCTTGGTGAAGAACTGCTTAGCCTCACTCTCATGCACACAAGCGGCCAAACAAATTGGGTCTGCCTCTTTTGTTGCTGACACAGTTTAGCTTCGGGTCTTCTTATTCGCAGTGGATCCGTTGTCCCACTGCTTTGCCCATCAATCAAAACCTAGCTGCTTCCTGTTTGCATTGCAGATCCTGATTTTTTCTTAGTCTGCGCCCTACCACATCAACGTCTCCCAAGCCTCCAAGCCTAAACAGCCCTCAGCCCCAAGCTAGGCCCCGAAGCCGTGCAATGGGCCAGGAGCTGAAGAAAGAGGAGCAGTGTCGGTTTCTCTCAAGGAGGGCCTTCCAGAATCAGCAGGCTCCACGGGCTTTCTGGAGGGTGGTGTAGCCTTCGGTCCCAAGCCCTCCAGGGATCAGGGGTTGTAGCACTTATGTGTGTGTGGATTAGCTGCCATGGCACATGGTGGGTGGAGTCGTTCTTGAAAACTTTAGCCGCGAACAGCCATGGCACCAATCAGCGACCTAAAGCCTACGGCCCTGCTGCCATAGGGCTCTTCGGGTCCGTGTACCTCAATAAGCGGAAAACTTTCTCCCCAAAGCCAAGGCCCAAGCCTCCAATGATGCTTCCGTTTTTCTTGGAACTGCGATCTTGCCAACAATAGATCGCGGCGTCCGTCCAGCGCCGTGATGCGCCGTGCGGTTCGTGGCAGTCGTCGGAAGTTCTGCAAATTAGGGCCCGTTTTTTGTTCACCTATACTGTAGCCTAGAACGCACCAACGCTGAGAATCCTCGACGGGGGTGGCGCTCATGTTGAGCTTTTTGCCGACGTAACACGCGCGTTTTCAAGAAGGGTTTTGAAAAGACGTGTGTGTGTGTGTGTGTGCGCGTGACACACTGTCACTAAGAGTTGATACCCCCGATGCGTTTTCCAGCAGGGGGTGGTAGGGTCCCTGTGTGGCTACCACCAACGAAGCTCCACACAGAAGGACCAGGATATCCAGCTTGGCCAGCTGGACGTACCTGCGGCCAGGATTCAGTTGTATGTGATGTTTAGCCAGCTGTGCATCGTACTTGTTTGTATCGCATCCCTAGAACATCCTCATGAAGGGTCATGGACTGGATTGAGAATTACACTCAGCCTGGCTGAGTACAGACTTTGATCCAGATACAAACAGATTTCAGATTCAGGCTGTGGATGGATGCGCAAGTGTGTGTGTGTGTGTGTGTGTGTGTGTGTGTAAGTGTAAGTGTGTAAGTGTAAGTGTGTAAGTGTAAGTGTGTAAGTGGGTAAGTGTAAGTGTGTAAGTGTAAGTGTGTAAGTGTAAGTGCAAGTGCAAGTGCAAGTGCAAGTGTAAGTGTAAGTGTAAGTGTAAGTGTAAGTGTAAGTGTAAGTGTGTAAGTGTAAGTGTGTAAGTGTAAGTGTGTAAGTGTAAGTGTGTAAGTGTGTAAGTGTGTAAGTGTGTAAGTGTGTAAGTGTGTAAGTGTGTAAGTGTGTAAGTGTGTAAGTGTGTAAGTGTGTAAGTGTGTAAGTGTGTAAGTGTGTAAGTGTGTAAGTGTGTAAGTGTGTAAGTGTGTAAGTGTGTAAGTGTAAGTGTAAGTGTAAGTGTAAGTGTAAGTGTAAGTGTAAGTGTAAGTGTAAGTGTAAGTGTAAGTGTAAGTGTGTGTGTGTGTAAGTGCGTGTACGTGTGTGTACGTGTGTGTAAGTGTGTGTAAGTGTGTGTAAGTGTGTGTAAGTGTGTGTATGTGTGTGTGGGCGCGAGCACGTACGTGGGTGGGCGTGTGCGTGCGTGGGTGCGCGCGCGCGCGGGTGTGTGTGTGTGTGTGTGTGTGTGTGTGTGTGTGTGTGTGCGTGTGTGTCCCTCTGTCTCTGTCTCTGCTGTGTCTGTGTCTGTATCTATGTCTCTTTGTATCTGTGTGTGTGTGTGTGCGCGCGTGTCTCTCCACCACTGGTGTGCTTGCGGGGTCACGTATGTCGTGAACTGTCGGAGCACCAGGGGCAAGCCGTGCAAGAGCCAGCCTGGGATTAGGATGCGTGGAAGCGGTTCGATGCTTGAAGAAGCACAGCAGTGTGTGTCGGTTTGTTCATGTCCTGGGGCTCAAGGTTAAGGCCCGAAACCTGGGGAACTATGTGTTGCTGGAGATGAGTGAGGGTGTCTGTAGCAGAAATTTGAGAGTTGAGGGAGTCGTGGGGTTAAGCATAGGCAAGTCGTGAGCGACCGAATATAACCCCCCCCACCCCTCCCCGCCCCCCCACCCCCCCAGCCCCCCTCCCCAAACGTACCTAAACCTACACCCTAAACATCCCTAAGCAATCTTCAAGAACAGACTCAGAACTTGGGGGAAACATGGAAAGAGATGACGCCGTCACTTTTGCCCTGTATCTTCACCGTCTGGCCAATGTGGTCAGTGAGAAGATTGTCTGATCTATGGCCTATGAATGTGGCGATTACATGAGCTCGACAATCACATTGATCTCTGTGCCCTTCTAGGAAGCTTTCCAAGCCCTGCACACAACCCCTATTTCCGAAAGGATTTTTTTGACTCCCGCCCAAAAGAGAGGCGGCAGCTGCCGAGTCCAGGCTCAAAGCTGCAGCGGAGGCGCTGTAGGGCGTTGCAAGGAGTTTCTAAAGTTTTGGGTTCAGGCGATCTACTTGCGGTGAGGGTGTACAGGCTTTACAAAGGTGGGGCTCGGAGAGTTTTTGGTTTCTTGCTTTGGGGAAGGTCTCATTCAGCTTCGGGATGAAGGTTGAAGACCTTAGGTATTGTGTTGCTGAGGGGAGCTTCAGTCCATTAATGGCAGGAGGGGACTGGCCATGATTTGGGGCTGTGCCTTCGACATGCTTTCATGCCCTGCCAAATCCTAAATCCCACGAATGCAGCTCCACACTTTCCCGTTCAACCCCCACACGCTTATAGCATTTAGGGATTTCGCCCCAAGCCTGGGCCCTTCATGAAGGTGGCCTTGGCTCGGTCCGGCGCAGTTGAGCGGCAGGCGCTGGGAGGGCTCGTCTTGGGGCACTGGGGCATCGGGGCATCGGGGCTTGGAGGCTTGGATCAGACCATGAGGTCTTAAGGGCTTGGATGGGAGAGGAGGCGGCTCAGGTAGTGAGCTGTGTTGCTCGAAATCAGTGATTCTGCAACCCGCGACTCGATATTCCCTGAAGGGCAATCTGTTCCAGAACCCGAACACGCATCGCTACGCGAAGCCGCAGAGGCAACTGAAGCACCAGGTGGGGGGAGGGGGGGCGGGGTCGTTTTGAGCAAAGACGCTCGTTCGGGTGGCGTATCGTCCTAGCCCTGCAGTAAACTCATCCAAGCTCTAACTCTGAACCTCGGCAACTCGCACCTGAAAGAGTTCTCGCTTCCTTGTCCGCCTTCAAAGGCAAGGACTGGAAAACCCTGCCCTCTAGGCGGAGCTGCCTTCAAAGCCGTAGGCCGCCCCTGAACCCGATAAGCCCCAGTCTTTAGCTGGCCAGTGGCCGGTTTGGCATGTATGGCCTTGTTGGGGTTGGGGGGCGTTCCACATGCGAGCAATGTGCTTTGTGTGGAGGTTCTGCAAGGTGACGGCCGAGCCAAGATGTTGTCTCGAGTCTTCCTGAACGGGGACTGGCACGGTTAGGAGTTTCAAGTTAGATTCGGGTTTTGGGTTTATCAGGGTCCATGGGTTCATTGAAAAGAGCTGCGGCTGAGACTACCGAATCCCTATACTGTAAACCCGACCTAAACCGAAACATGTCAGGGAATAGGGATGTCGAGTTCCTGGAGCTTGTGAAACACGGAGGTGTCGCTGCTTCGTTTTCGGACTTCCTAAGCCCGGCACAACAGCGCAGGAATGGACCTATTGCGCCTGAGGGACAGAGATGGCTTGTGCGGGTTCAGTAAGGGAAAGCAACGTAGGGCTCCCATGTTTTGAGCCAGCAGCGCCCCCATCCCACGTAAGTCGACCAGGGCATCGGATGACAGTATGCCTGTAGACGATGGCAGTCAAGAACGTGGATTATTGACGGTAGAAGGCCAACAGTCCGTGGCCGTAGGTCTTTCAAGCTCGGCTGCTGCATGCTGCAGTCCGTGAGCTGTCACCGCAGTTTCACGAATTCGGTCATGACCATTTTCACGCCGGAGACAGCCGAGAAAGGTGCGGGACACTGCATGGCACAGGTGAACTGAAGCGACCCAACCCTGAAATGAGTCTTGGGCATCTGAGTTCTGCGGGCATGCACAATAGTGCCCACGAAAGGCTTATACTTTCCGTTTTGCCGGGAGTGCAGGCTCTCGGCCCAGAAGCCTCAGATTCCCGGACTCTAAGCCCTCAAGCCTTCATAAGCATTCATACGCCTTCCTAATGCAATGAGCCCAACCCCTAACCTCTAAGGACTCTAAGGGTCCGAGCAGATCAAGGGTTTTGTACTACAACCCCCCCCGCCCCTGCCCCTATATGGAGCCCGTCGCGAAGCCGCTGTCAACTTCCGCCTTCCCGTTGACCTACGAGCACACATGCTGGTCTTGGAGCTGCTTGGAGAAAGGCAGGAACTGAATTGGGGGTTTCCGGCCGGTTTTTCGTGCCTTGGAGTTTGAGAATCCGGAGGGTTGCTGAGGCTATCGCGGCCACGATGTATCACGACGTGATAGTTCCACGTGTCTCATGTGTAGATAGAGTACGTCAGTATATTAGACAATACTCGTATCACGGCCCGAAGCGCCCGAAGCAACCGAAGGATGACCCTGCGAGTGAGGTTCTCACCTACGCAGAACGCTCGGCACGGATGCCAGCCACCTCCGGTGGCTCCAAAGTTGCATTGATGGTTTGCGGGGTGAGGCGGGGTAACGAGAGAACTTCTGCAACCTGTTTCAACTATTTTCAACCCCAAGATTTTTGGAAGTGCTGCTCTTACATGTGACTGTTGCTTGTTCATCGGTTTCTTGATGGTTAAGCTTTGGGCCCTGTTATGCAACTCTTGCTGTAGGCTGCGTACGATTCCTGTATGATTCCTATGGGCTCCGCAAGGTATTTGCCTGGTGTGGAGGAGTACAAAAAGCTGGAGCTTGCTCACTGGGGCCAGGCTGTGGATTCTGGCCGGGGGATATAGGGGGATCTGAAGAATCGAGCTGAAGCCGACACATCCTACACAGCCCCATACGTGAAAAACGCGTCGTGCAACCGCCATGCCCTGGGATTCGCTCCCAGAAGCATAGTTTAGGGAGCGAAGGTGATCTTTCCCGGAATGCAACACCCCCTCACGGTGCCAAGGCTTGACCGGCTTGCATCCATGATTCGAATCAGTCAGTCACTTAACCTCTCTTCAGTAGCCATTCCCAACCCTCGAAAAGGTGACTCCCCAACTCTATCGCCGAAACCTCAAAGAGGCCGTGTACCTGGACTATGCTGGGGCGGCGCTGTATAGCCGAGCGCAGATTCAGTCGGCACAGGCGCCTAGAAGATATTTCGGGAAGTTTGGATAAACGACTCATTCGTATTTTAGTGATTGAAAATGTTCGAAGTCTTGAGTAGAAGTCGTGGTGGAGGGGTTTCAGACTTGGGGTTCAGGGGTTAGGGGTGTTTTGGCAGATGAACTCATTGCACGCTTCGAGAAGACAGTCTGCTTGTTCAAGGCCGCCCAACTTGCAGATGCCTTCAATGATGATTAGGCAGTTTTTTGGCCTCGAGTGATGTGTGTCCATGTCCGCCAGGCGCTGTTGTTGGACAGCTGCCTGGCCAACCCCCACAGCTCGCCGGAGACAGCGCAGCGCATGGAGCAGTGCCGAGACTTGGTCCTGCCAACTGGCTGCAGATTGCAACAAGTAACAGTTCTTTTTGTTGGCAAGGGGGGGTGTCCGAAAACTCGAAACCCTACAGGTTCGACCAGTTGGACAGATACTCAGGGCTTGGTGCTTTACAGGAGTTCAAAGGCTCAGAATTTTGCTTGAGGCTTTAAGGGTAGCCCTGAAGCCCCAGCCCTAAAGCCTCAAAGTCTGAAGCCTTAAGGCTCCCGAAAGACCCCCAAATCCCGAAACTCTGAGCCTGGGCACAGACGCGCCTAAAGGCATGTGGGGCGCATGGCGTGCTTTGGGGTGTGTCTAGACCTGTGAAGGCAGATGTTCAACGTCAGCAGGGAGACCCACTCAGTGGTGTTTACTTCGGGCGTCACTCAGGGTCTGCAGCTCTTGGGGGAGCATCTCCCATGGACCCAGAGCAGCGTCTTCCTGTACGCTGACGAGAGCCACACCAGCGGCCCTGCTGCGATCAGACTTTGTTCACGAACATGAGTGCCCAGCTCGGCACCCTACTCGTATAAGCTCTCAAAATCTAGAACCTCTAGATCCTCTAGAACCTCTAGACCCTCTAGAACCTATGTCCCTATGTGCATCTGTCGGCCTTTGACACTCAGTTTGCAGGTATGGTTGGCCTTCGGCAGTATGCCAAGGAAGGCAGCTGCACTTATGGCACCTTCGCCCTTGAAGAGCTTTCCAAGTTTGAAGACGACCTCCTGGCCACTCGGCATGAAGTTGGGAAGGTAGGGCCGAGCCTCAATGCCTCAATGCCTCAATGACGCGTCGAAAACAGGGGAGCTGCAAATCCGGACGGCTAAGGCTGCTCGCTTGGAAGGCTCCGAAGACTCCGTGCCGGTTGTGAGCTCTTCTTGCAACCTCATCGCCTTCCCAGGCGAGTCCAACTTCAGCGGAGCTCGCAGCGACTTGTCCTGTGTGCAGCGGCTGAGGGCGGGCGCGCTGAAGTGGCGAGTTTTGCTGGATGCCGCCAAGTTGACCTGCTCTCCTGGCGCCTTAGATCTGAGCAACTGCCCTGCGGACTTCACGGTTGTCTCCTTCTACAAGATCTTCGGCTACCCGACTGGCCTTGGGGCACTGCTCGTGCGGCATGATGCAGCACCCTTGATTATGCCACAGGCAGACCTCACCGGAGGGCCAAGGAAGGGTGGCACCGGAGGGCCTGCCGGAGGGCCTGGAAGGCCACTCTACTTCGCCGGAGGTTGCGTCTCCTCCCTGTCGGCAAGCTCTGGCTTTGCCATCCCTCGGCCTCAGTTGACGGAGTGGCTGGAGCGGGGCACGCCCCATTTTTTAGGGATCGCAGCGCTCCCTGCGCAGCTCAAAGCGGTCCGGGCGCTTGGCCCTGACCATGCGCGATGTCGGCATGCACAGGCTGTGGGACGCGAGGCATACCTTCGCACAGTGAGGCTGCACCATAGCAATGGGCTCAGGGTGTGCACAGTGTTCGGCCGGCACGAGGAGAAGAGCTGGTGCGAGGTCCAAGGCCCAACTCTGGCACTGAGCCTTCACTATGCGGATGGCTCGCCAATCCCTTATGGGATTGTTGGTGAGCGGGCAGCAGCGAGGCAGATCGTCTTGCGCACCGGTTGCCACTGTAATGCAGGGGGTTGCCAGAAGTACTTGAACCTGGACGATGCTGACATCCGGCACTTCTTCGCATCTGGCAAAGTGTGTGGAGACGACAAAGGTCTCGTAGATGGCCGGCCTACAGGTGTGGTTCGCGTGTCCTTTGGATTGTATTCAACACTGTCTGATGTCTCCAGCTGGATGACACTTCTCTCTGAGTTCGTGGATGTGATGCCTGACTGCTCTGAAGACTCTGAAGGCTGCAAGCTGCCAGAGACAACCCCTGAAATGGTCCTGCCTCTGCAGCCTCTGCACCCTCAAGCTCGGACCATTGGAGACATCAGGGCTCTGAAGGTTTACCCCGTCAAAGGATGTGGGCCCCTGCGTGTTCGGCGTTGGCCCCTGGACGGCAGCGGCACCTTGTTCCTGGACCGGAGATGGTGCCTGATGTTGGAAAACCAGATTACGGGCCGAGGGCGGGCAGTCAGCGCAAAGCAGGCACCCCGCCTAACCACCGTGAAGCTGTCTCTGAAGAGTGGGGAGCGGGGCCACTTGGTGCTAATCCTGTCCACCAGGTACCATGCCCAGACGTTGGAGCTTCCCTTGAGCGGGCGGGACTCGGACTTCCTACGCTTAGCAGGCGTCGAGCCGGTTGAGTCGCATCCCGGCCAGTCCAGTGAGTCTAGTGAGTCCGGTGCCGTGGCCTTTGGTCAAGACTTCGAGACTGCGGCAGCCGCGGCAGCCAGCTGGTTTGAGCAGGTGCTCAACATCCGGGGCCTGCGCTTGGCTGCGGCCTCGGCCGCCCCTTCGTGTGCGGGTGGCACAGGCGAAGCACCGGCGCCCACGGATAAGACAGATTTCGCGAATGCACCGAACACTCTGCTCCTAGTGTCCACGGCATCTCTCAGAGAGTTCGGCCGTGTTTGTGGCCTGGCAGTGCCCGCAGACCGCTTCCGTGCAAACCTGGAGGTGGACCTGGAGCAACCCTACGAGGAGGCATGCTGGCCTGTCAGTCTCCCCCTCCAACTGGGAAACGCAGCTTTCGAGGCAGCCGGGCGTTGCGTACGGTGTCAGGCTGTTGACATCGATCCTGAAGATGCCAGCTCCCAAGGGCCCTCGCTCTTGGCAGCACTGGCCACGGCACAGCCCGGGTCCGAGGCCAAAGGCCCGACCTTCGGCGTGCTCTTGCGGCAAAGGGACCCAGGCACAAGCACGAGCATGTCCGCACTCTCCGTGCTGGAGGTCGGAATGCCCCTACGCAGATTGGCGTAGAGTGTGGCCAGCGCCTGGTGCCATAGGTGCGCACCGCCATGGGGCCCAAAGTCTTTTCTTGACCCAGTTTTCACAACTGTGGCAGAAAGCAACCCACGCAGTTGACAACTCAGGGATATAGTGTCGGGATGTCGGTGCAAATTCCATTGTAGGATATCTTTGACGTGATAAGTAGACCCTTGCCCCCTTGCATACGGCATTTGACGGTCGCATACCTTCGCTGCAGCCTGGTCCAAGCCAAGCTGAGCCAGCAAGATGGACACATCCTAGATATCTTCGGGCGACTCGGTTGCACAAGCTGAGCCTGCTGGAGCAAGCCGTGCAAGCTTGCATCAAAGCATATGAATCTTTGTGAAGCCCATCATGCGAGCATTGTGTGTGCAAAATGTGGGGGGCTGCACGCCTCCGACCAAGTTGTTTAGGCCTGCAAGCTTGCTTCAAACATAAGAATCTTCCTGAAACCCATCATGTGCGCATTTTGGCAGCCCTTTCTCCCTTGCTCCCTTTCTCCCTTTCTCTCCCTTTCTCTCGGTTTCTCTCCCTTTCTCTCCCTTTCTCTCCCTTTCTCTCCCTTTCTCTCCCTTTCTCTCCCTTTTTCTCTCTTTCTCCCCCTTTCTCCCCCCTTCTCCCCCTTTCTCCCTTTCTCCCTTTCAACCCGCCCCCCCCCCGCCCCGTTGAAGCTTGCGCGGCTTAAAGTGCGGGGGGGGGGGGGGGGGGTACATGATTCAAAAAGGTTCATATGCTTGTAACAAAGGCAAGTGGGTTGGGGGGGGGGGGGGTGGCACATTGCCCCCCCTATTTGCAAACACAATGCTCGCATGATGGGTTTATAAAAAAATCAACTTTGAGGCAAGCTTTGCACGGCTTAAAAAAGGGGTGCAGCCCACCCCCCCTGCCCAGTTGCACAATGCTCGCATGATGGGCTTCATATGCAGCTTTGCATGGCTTCAAGAAGCAGGTAGGGGGGAGTGCAGCCCCCCCCCCACCCTGCCCCCCCCCCCCCACCCTTCCCCCCCTTTTTAATGTCCCGCTTCTGAAAACACACTCATAGTAGCGGTATTCCATTGCGGGGGCTACACCCCCCCCTCCCCGCGGCATTTAGGTGTGCAAGCTTGCTTCAACGGCATGCTCGCATAAGGCATGGACTCTCGTGACAGCGTGTTTAAGTCACAAGTTCCCACAGCCACGGGTAAGCAAGAAAAACATCTACCAGGGATAGAAGTGTTCTTTTGCTTGGCCTTGGCTGCAAGGGAGTCTCGCAGCCACGGCAAAGCAAAGGTTGGAGGTGTTCTTTTGCTTATCGCTGGCCACGAGTGGGTCTCACAGCCACGTCTTAGAAAAAAAGAAAGCGCGTCCGCCAAGGTTGGAGGTTTTTGGTTTTGCCTCGCCCTGGCTACAAAGGGGGTTTCATAGCCCCGGCTAAGCAAAAAAAATAGCGCGTCCGCCAAGGTTGGAGGTGCTTTTCTTTGCTTAGCCCTGGCCGACAGAGACAGCCACGGCTAAGCAAAAATCAATACAAAGCATGCACAGCAACGGCTAAGCAAAAATAAACACGTCCGCCGAGGACCGAGACTGAGAGCTGAAAAGGCGCTTGGTTGATGTTTCCGTGCAAGATGCATCCATCGCTCGTAGCCACGCTGTCGCGCACCTTGTGCTGCTCATCGTGATTTGCAGATACGTCTTCAGATTTGGCTTTGTGTGAAGGCTCTGTAGGTCCATGTAGGTTTAGGGCGTAGGGCTCAGGGGGTAATTAGGGTCTGAGGTTCAGGGTGTCTCCGCAGCCTCAGGCCTTGCTGGATGTCAGCAAAGATGCCCTCAGAGCTGGAAGCCGTGCGCGAGGACCTCGCAGATATCACAGCCGAACCCCGAACCCTAGAATCCCTAGAAATGGCCTCAGCCATCCAAGTTGCCCTTAACTTGGGCAACCCGAAACCCTGTGCCCACATCTCCCGGGCCTACAATCCAAGGTCCAACACCGTGGAGCCCTAAGATCGATGAGAACATGACAATTAGCCTCAAAGTATCCCACTTCATTGCTTTAACCCCAGAGATTCTCTCAGCCTTAAAGCTCTGAGTTCTGAGACCTTAGAGAAAACGACCAGGGACCCGACCTGGGAGGAGCTCGCCTCCTGGGTGGCCTATGCCCCACGGGCGCTGCACCTTCTGGATCAACTCCGGGGCTTGGAGGCGCAACCGATCATCGTTTAGCATTGTTTGGAATTATCCAAGACCTTCCATAAGAGAGAGAGGGGTCGTGGGTATGTGATTGTGTGCGGTACATGTTTCTGCCATGCATTCCAGTGGGCACAAGCTGAGCGCTCTCGGCTCTCGGACAAAAGGATGAGGAGGGAGACTGGCTAAGGACACAGTGCGTGGCCTTCGTTGTCACAGTGCAAGTCGTGCAAAAATCAGGGGCCAAGTGAAGAGCCACCTAGAAGGGTGGGACCTCACATCTGCACGTGGCTTTGGATATGTGAACGTGGTCGCCTCCTAGGCACGCACGAAAGGAATGGGTCTCCGTGTTTTGGATTGTCTGCGTGGGGGGAAAGGTCATCATGGCCTCGACGATCTACAAAGGGCCTACGATCCTACACCCTGAGCCCTACGGCCTAAACCCTGCACCCTAAAAGTTAGCCCCAAAACCCTAAAACTCTAAGCCCGAAGTCTCCAAACGCTCAAACCTGAGGGCTGTGAGGGTAGAGCTAGTGTACCAACAGGTTTGGGATGAAAGGCCTCAGTGATCTTGAGACATTATCGCGTTTTGCAAGCCTATCCAGACGCGCAAACGTTGTTACAGAGGACGGTGCGCTGCCGTCTCAGAGGCAGATCTCGCGGTCAGCTCATGAGAACATGAAGGGATGAAACTGGGGGAATTCAGGTTTGGTTCAGGTTTAGGCATGTTTCAAGCTCATGAGCACAGGCAAGAGTTTCTTAGGACTCCATCCATAGACCACCGGGTATAGGGCTTTAAGGGTTCGGGGGTTGGATTGGGTTGAGACAGGTTGCGGGTGTAGGATTCATTAGAGCGATCGTCTTTTGCAGGTCTCAGTGGATCTGCTCCGAGAGACGCAGCTTGGTCGGCTGGTGCAACGCTATCTGCGGCATGACGAGGCCTTGTTAGGTTTGGAGAAATTCGAATTTGGATCCTACACCTTTGGCATACCCCCTAAACGCTAAACCCAGATGGAGCAGAGCTTGCCACGGGCCGTCTCAATCTTGGTTGGCACAGGACGTGAAGGCGGGCAAGTTCAAAGGAGTTCTAAAAAGTGCATGGTGTTGAAGGCGTTGAAGGGTGTATGGTCCGCGCGTTTTGCTTGCACGCCCGCATGGCTGCAGCAGGCATCTGCGCATATTATTTAGAACAATATTTATGCCATGAGACCCATGTGACTGTTGGCTACTGAGCATTGATTGAGCTCGAGTCTATGCCAACCCTCAACCATATGACATTCCACAACCTTCAAATCTTTGCCTTTGCCATTTTGCTTCCAGGTCCGGGTCGTTGCCAAAGCCAGAGACCTTGTGGAGGCACATGACGGTGAGATTGCGGGGTTTGTGTTTTGTTTAGAAGGCCAAATTATCCAGCAATGTCAATCTTGTAGGGCGAGCAGCGCGCGGTGAGCAATGTGTGATGCAAAATGTGATGTTTGTAACGTCACGAAGTGCCACGTGTTCGGACGTGGATATCTTCGGCATTTACATGGCATGCTTGAGACAACACGCTTAATACCGCCCATACCGATACCCAAACCTGAAGTCTTAGCCCTGACCAAGATGAGCTCTGACTTGTGTCTTCCGATCCTGGGAGTAGAAGGCTGTCGAAACCTGTTCGGGGCGCAAACACTGCATGACCTGAAAGTCCTCAACCCCGGAACCCCAAACTGCAACTAAACTGTAACTTGCCAGCAAACGGCGTCTTTTCTGGGCGGGTTGGGGGCCCATCGTCGGAAAGCCACGGCGGCCAGGGCTGGAAGCAGCACCTCCGGCAGCATCTGACTCGCGCGAGGCCGTTGATGCAGCCTTCCGGGGGGATGAAATTTCTACACCCTTGGAGGTGATGATCTTTGGACTTGCCGGGTGGCACCCGAACCATGCATGAATCATATATATATACACACATATAATTGATGTGTGTATAAATCTCTCTCTATACATGTATATATACATATAACATGTATGTAGACATATATATATATATATATATATATACATACATGTGATACAGATACACATATGCATGTACATGCACAGAACGTTGAAGGCGGGTCTTGGAATGGAACAGGCGCAGTGAAACCTTCTGCTGAGACCGTGCCCGAATGCACGCGCGAAGCCCTGACTCCTGCTAGCCAGCTGCCACACGGCAGAGCTTGCAACAGAATGCAACGCGTGCAGCGTCTCTGTAGCTTCAAGGTCTCTTGGAACTTGGTTTCGGGTTTGGGGTGGTTTTCCCAGGCTGTTCTCTTGAATTTCCTCCGGCATCTCGAAAAAGCAACGCAGCAAAGTGCCACTTGGAAGTGTCCATATCCGTGCCTTCTGCCTGCCTGTCACTTGACATTCACACTTGACATTCACAATTGACATTCACTTGGCACCTGAATCCTTTCTGCCAGGGACGCGCCGACCTGTCTTGCGGAGTCCCTGGCAGCGGCGCCGCAGTTGCAGCTGTCAGACAGCCGAGACCTTGGCTTCTGTACTGCCCGCTGCCCCTGTTTTACGGTTTTGTGCGGTGTAGGTTCCAGGGCGGGGTTCAGCCACGTGACCCATTCTCCCGTCCCCACTGTTCCACCTGCCCTAAGCCCAGAGCTGACACCTCGAGAATAGATATGATCATTCACGGTCGGCCCATGAAAGGCGAAGGTGCGAAGCCTAGACGCAGCGACTGCAAGAAGAGCAAGGAGGCAGACTGATAGGTTTTCTGGCTGTGTTGCGCTGAGAGACCTCGGCTGTGAATTCGTTGCAACGCTGCACGCAGTAGAGAGAGAGAGAGAGAGACAACAAGGCGAAGCACTTGGACCATGCACTGGATTGCCCGTCTCAAGCCCCACAGCTCGCTAAATCTTCACAGTTTGTAGCTCAAAGGCAGAGCAGAGTAAATGGACGAGGGGAGCTTTCGGGCCAGGCTGTGCTACGCCTACAGGGATTTCAGGGTGTTTTCAGGGTGGTTTTTTGCTATCCCGACACTGTCAGGATGAGTCGGCCGACAATGCGCATGGCTGGGTGCAGAAGCAGGCCAGGATGGTGTACTTTTGGGTCCGAAAAAAGGAAGGCGAGCAGGTTTCTTTTGAGCAGCCCGAAGGCCCCACCGACCCCAACAGCCATTTCCACACGATCTTTCGCCCCTGCGGGAAGATTCACAAGCCTGAGGCCTCCCAGCAATTCCGCGGCAAGCGCGAGAAGTTCTGGTCCTTCACGCTCCAAAGGCCCGCAGAGGGTTCATCGATGAAACTCCAAAGAGTCCCCCAGAGTTCGGCACCGGAGCGCGTTTTTTTTCGGGATCTTTTCTGGAACATCCCTTTCCTTGAGCCAAACTCAACCCTCTCTCTCTCCCTCTCCCTGCTTTTCCTGGCTCTCCGCGATCTGCCTGAGAGGCCCTTTGGCAATGAGGCCTGGGTGCTCCAGGTTCGTGTGGCGCAGCCAAAGGATGTTGCGCAGGAGGTGCGCGACAAGAGGCTGGAAGAGATTTCCGAGCTCTTGTTTCGCATGGCCGCTGACACAGGGGCCATCCGCCCGGAGAGCTCAGAAGCTGGGGAGGAGAACCTAAAGACACTTGGCAGGCTGCAGCGCCTGGAAAAGCGCTTCACTGGCAAGGGGGTGACCGAAAGCGAGGCACGGAATGCCCTCCGACTATTCGAGCGGGAGCTTTCCAAGGCCAACTGGACAGCGGAGAAGTTTGAGAAGCTGAAGAAGCAGCTGGCAGGAACAGAGGAGTGGTCTGCTGCTGATATGGTGGCAGAGAGCTCCATACGCTGGCAGCAGCACAGGCGTCGCCAGGCCTGGAAAGCACTGAACAGCACTCTGTTGCTTGATTTATTTGCTCTGGGGAACGGGAGCGATGGGAGCCTCTTCAAAGGCAAAGGCCGATGGTAGGTCCGTTTCATAATATAATGCTGTAGTATGGAGAGGACGGAGAGGATCAGAGAGGTCTTGGAGCTTTTGCACGCGCAGGCCTGGTTCGCAGATGCCTGTGAGCGGGTGGCAGTGCCACTCGGGATCGAGGCCGGACGTGTAGGGAAACTGGGGAACATCAGTCACTCCCTTCATTCCCAAGACCCAGTGGAGTGCAACTGTCTCAAGACATCTCCCAAGCCCGCACGGAGTCCTTTGGTGAGGCGGGCTACACCAACAGCGGGGGCTGCTTCGTAGGTCCTCTCTCATCCGTAGCTGGAGCGGCGCTGACCACCACGCTCCTCTGTCACCTGGCGCACCTGGATCTGAATTCTGCGACTGCGCGGAACAGAAGGCTCCGGTTGCGAGATGTCATAGTGTGGGGAGAGCTCTGCCGAAAAGAGCACCATGTCATGGCCTGCGCATTTTGTACTTCTTGAAGGAGGACGTGACCGGTTCGTGGGAACACGGCTTCAAAAGCATGTAGAATGGGTGAGGTTATATTTTCTGCAACATGATGTTGCGTCTGCGTTGGGGGGAACGGAGGGGATGGCAGGGCAGGGGAAGGGGAGGTGCTGGCACAACGAGCCCATACGAGCTCCAACTCGCTTAGTTCACGAAGAAGCGACATTCCAGATGGTTTTTTACCAACCCAATTACAACGCAGACATTCCCTTCCTCCTTTTTTTTTGGCAGCTCAAGCCTCTTGGGAGGCTTTCGGCTCCTCAGTTCTTGCAGGGCTTTGTCGCCCATGCCTCAGAGCGACAAGGGGTCAACAGCTTTTGCAGTTCAGGGCTTTGGGAATTTCAGGAGCTTAGGATTGGGGGTTAGGGTCTAGGGTCTGTCAATTTGAGTTTTCGGGATTCTGGCTTGTGGATTACAAACCAGGATTCCAGTTCAGGATCACGTGCAGAGTTGCTGGTCGTTGTTCTGTCCGATGGTCTAGATGTTTGGAGTCACATAAACATAGACAGAAGTAACATTCCGAAAAGCCCGATTCAGCGGACGGTTAACAGATTGACATGCGCATGGAAGCCGAAAAGCTCAGCTCTGGCTGAGGAGTTCGACTAGAAGCCGAGCTCATCCTTGTTCGACCTTAAACTTCGGTTTTCAGAGGGTTTCGGGCTTCGGGGTTTGTTAAGGGTTGGGGCTTCATGACCTGAGTCTGAGTCTCGCGGAATTAGTGAAGCCAACAAGCGTCATCGCTTCGAGGACGGCGCCTTGAACAAAGACCGATACCTCGTCTGGGAGCGGCTCTTCTCTATCGAGGTGAGGCTGGTTCCCAGAGGGTGTAGGGCTTTCGGATGCATAGGTGCTGTTGGATGTTGTTGGGTCTAGGGAGGCTCCTTAGATTGATGGATTTCGGCCTTCACTGAAGTCCGTCAGCCTGAGCCCTGAAATCCAGAAGGTTCCGAGCGCCCAAAGCCCAAAGCTTCGGCAGACACGTGTTGAGCGTCTTCGGGACCCGACCCTAAAGCTTTGGGCTTCAGCTTCTGCACCGCAGGATTCGGTTTGGCAAAGTTCTGAAAGCACACTGCCAGGATGGGGCATCGGCGGCTCGCTTCTGTCAGGACGGTTCTCGAACACCCGGCGGGGGCTCAACGGGGGCGCTCCCCAAGCCATTGAAATCCGCAGAGCGTGCAGAGAGCGTGCCCTCTGAACCCTTAAGAGATCCTTAAGAGCTTCTGGCACGTCTCTGGATCTGGGCTTTGAGTTTGGGTTTAAGGTTTTGGGCACCTGTTTATGACATACAACGTAAGTCGGCCGCTGCATCTCTACGTGGATGGCTTCAACTTGAGTGGAAAGGAAGGACAGAGTTCCGAGTTCCAAGGTACCCGTACCCCAACATTCGCTCGTCAAGTACGGCCGCCTAAGCCCAAAACGCTTGAAAAGCACTCCTCGCCCTCCCCTCCAGCTGCTGGCTGCTCTTTGAAGAGGAGCATCTGAACAGCGGCTTCTTCGACGACCTCGCCCCTGAAAGTGAGGGGCAGAGCGGCGAGGCCGAAGTCCAAAAGTCCCGAAGCCAGACAGTCTGTTTCGGGCTTAAGCAGCTTGAGTCTGTAGGGCTTCCATACATGGGACCTCATTTTCTGTGAGCTTTCGCGGACTGTTCGCCTTTGTGGAAACCATTCGCTCGAGGACCTCCAAGACATGCTCCGGAGCTTCTTCAGCAGCATCGCAGCCTCAGGAGCGACCATGTGCAGAACTCGACACTGTGACACCTTCGCCCCCGCAGCACCCTAAGCACCTTAGATCCTCCCAGAAACTGCCCTTCACTACTTTGCCATGAAATAGCAATACTGCGTTTTGGAAATACAGGCATGGATCTGGGAGGGAGCAAAGAACACATATGCATATACGTACGTGTGCAATATGCGTGTACGCATGTATGTATATGTGTCTACATACATGTGTGTGTATGTATGTATGTATGTATGTATGTATGTATGTATGTATGTATGTATGTATGTATGTATGTATGTATGTACGTATGTATGTATGTATGTATGTACATAGATATACACATATGTGTGCATGGTTTTTCGTGTCTGTTCCTCAGCCCTCAACCTACACCGCAAGCCGAAAGTTGCAGGCTCCTCACGGGCGAGGCCGAGGGCAGCACGCCTGGATGAGGACCTTAGATGACGGTATGGGCCCGCTCAAAAGGCCTCCAACCCTTCCACGGCCCATTCAAGGAATCTGAAAAGTAGATATCAGACCTACATCTGAGAAGCACCAAGGAGGCCCAACGTGAGAAGTCGCCAAGACTTATCCAGGCTTTGCCTACCAAAGCGTACAGTAATACACTTCATGCACGGCGGAGAAGAGGCCGCTGTTTACAGCAGAGTGCACTGAGAACCCACACAGTGTTGCACATCTGCACATGTTGCCTCTCGTGGATTTTTCCCCAATCCCTTGCTCCCAAACTTTGTCTCGATGGATTTTCGCTTGCTCCCCAACTTCGACTCGATATAATTTCTCTTGATCCCGAGTAAACCCTGGTGACGACTTTCCTCTCACGTGGAAGCTCTTCTTTTGCCTTGTTGTTGAAAAGTAGCAGTATGAGGTAGTTGTTCAGCAGTAGGGTGTCTTGTGCTATGCCAGTAAGCCGTCATTTAAGTGGTCCATATTCAGCAAATGTGACGCCCGCAACAACTTAAGGGCCGTGCAAGTGAGATCTGCCATTGCAGGATGGCTTACGTAGGCTTCCGGAACTCTTCCCAGGCTTGAGGATATTGTGTGTTGTCTTTGTTTCGTGGCACCCTGTGGTGCCATGAGACTCCAGGACCGTGCAGAAGAGGCGGGCGGTCTTCAAATCGTGGCCTTGCCAGCCCTTTTCTTGTCAACTTGACGCCCATTCGCGCAACGTGCTGTGCATTTCCTATTGACCTCAAGTCACGAGCTAGCTTTCAACCGCGAGCCGAATGACCAAATGCAGGCGCCTTCCAGCCTCCCATCTTCCTTCACGTGTGAGACTTACATCTGCTGCAGAATTCGTTGCCATGGGTTGTGTTTGGACTTCGGGTTTATGGTGTACTATGGTGCGAACGAAAGCATGGGAGATGTGGAGGCCAGAGCGTTTTCGAAACATTGCCGCGTGCCTCCTTGGATCGGTCCGAATCACCTCAGGCTCCTGACTCCCTCCTCAATTTGAGCTCCAACGCCCCTCTGAGTTTTCAGCCCTTCCAGGTAAGTGGCCTTTCCGGCATTTTTGAAGAGTCCTTTCTTGGCTGGCTACTTGAATCCGGCCAACTCCACAAGCAAGCCAAGGCCATTCTCGGGCAAAGCGCATCGTCTGGATGCAGATGACGAAGCGCAGGCGAGCATGCATCAGAAAGCAGTTTTGCTACGGAGAAGGCCGCAACTGCATATAGACAGGCGCTTATATGCATTGATTGGGTCCAGTCCGGCCGGTGGGATGTTGTTTTGCTGGCCTAGGAGCTCGGCCCTTCTTTGCTCGCGGTTTGGTGCGTGCGTGCGGGCAATTCTGTCGTTGGATTCCGTAATCACGCCAAAGGTGGTTTCGAGGAGCACCTGCAACACATTCGTCTTTGCCCCTTCGGCAATTTCGCCCTGATGCCTCGCACAGGAGCCTGCGCCTGGTGACGATACGCGGAAATCCTGGGCCTGGTGCCGAGCAGTGAAACGTGCAGTTCTTGCGCTTCTTTTGGGGCTTGAGGCGCTTGAGGCACTTGACTTGAGGCACTTGAGGCACGGCACTTGAGGCTTTTGAGGCTTTCGAGGCTTTTGACCCTTTTGAGGCACATGAGGCACATGAGGCACATGAGGCACCAGGATGACAGGCTATGGGACTGGCAAGCGGAAATGAGAACGGGAAGTCTACCACGCCGCAACGCTACAACTCATCTCCTCAGTCCTCCCCACATGAAAGCCCAAGATGCTCAATAAGCCCCAAACCTTATGCCTTCTGCCTGAACCCTTGACCCCAATCCCTGACCAACCCATCATAACCCATTGCAGAGATCAAGATCCAAGGCCTTAACGTTCACATCGAACCTCGAGCTGGCTAGAACCAGCCGTCGAAGGAGAGGAATATTTGGCTTAGGATTGAGGGACGGCTTCAGCTCAGTAGGGGGTTTAGTACAGTTCAAGGCTTAAACTTTAGACCAGCGTTGATGGGTTTAGGGTTTTGGGGCTGAGGCTTAGGATTTCGCTGCGTTCCGTTTCGGTTCTTTCGAGGGGAGGCGCTTTGGAGCGCACAGTTTTCCGTTTTGTTGGAACCTTCGGGGTTGAAGCTTCTTACGTTTGTCGCTCAAAGGTGGGTTGAGCAGCTGCTGTGAGCGGTCAGTGCAGGCGAGGGCTCAGGTTGGAAAGGTTGAGGGAGAAGATGTTTTGTTTCTTTTTTTCGCAAGCGCAAACCTCATCCAGGCGTGACCCAGTCTTTTGGGCATCACAACATGTGATATGCAGATTGTGACGAGCTGATGTATTTGAAGACGCAAACACGTCCCGACCGTAGCTCCATGAGCAACGAACTTTCACACAGACAACCCCCCGGCAAGTTTGTGGATTCTGATGGCTACTGCCGCAAAGCCGTACTTTAGATTGAGAAGCGCAAGGGCACCACCTGTTTCAATCCGCATCTCTCGGAGTCCGCGCGCCCCCCCTGCAGACCCTAAGACTCTTGACCCTGAACCTTTTCAAGCCCGCTTGTCTCAGCATGCGCTAGCTTGCGCTGTCGACAGGAGCCGGGAAGAAGCCAAAAGGACAGATGGGGACCTTAGAGGTTTGGGGTGGTCCGGCCTGGTTCGCGAGCAAGTGTAGGCTCCGCCCCACTTCTCTCTTGTCGTCGCGTAATGTGGCCTCACCCGACTTCCAGGAGCTGGAGACTCTCTGACCATGGACTTATTGAGTTAACTGGAGCGATGGGAAGGGCAAGCAAGGATTGTCAAGAATCATCCTCAACTCCCTGAACGTTCCAAGTTTCAGCAAAGCTTTTTCAGGACCTACCACTGGACCTTCAGTGGCCAAGCCGTGAAGGAGACAAAAACAGGCACGGAGAGTTACTCTCAAGGCGGGGCCTTCGGACATGAGTGGATTGTGACTCGTTGGTTTGACAAAGCTCTGAATATTGGGCTATAGTTGGGCGGTGGTGGTGTAATTACCCAAACTGTGCGAGGCTATCCCTAACTCCTTCACCCCCCCCCTCACCCCTCAAACCCTGCATTGTCACTTGTGCAGGGAAGAGCGCTGGCGAGAAGCGCAAGGGGCAAATTGAGAGCTGCTCGTTCGCCACTTCAACTATGACGGTGATTAACACTGCTACACAGGTAAGCCGCAGTGCCTTTTCAGTATCAATATCATTCAGCTCATCCGTGCAGGATCCGGGGCAGGGGACAGCTTGGGTTTCCGATAAGCATGCAGCTTCAAGGTGTTGCCCTTTCCGAGCCTCATGGCCAGCTCGAAGCGATATCTCCAGTGCACAGTGCAGCCAGTTACACAAAACCCTAAGCTCCAACCTATGCTGACTGAAAGTACACCCTAAAGCTGGCTATGCCTATGACCCAATTTGGTCCAAGAAAGCCCGAAACCATTGAAGCCATTGAAGCCATACGTATGGACTCATGGACTGGCTCTCTTCCCTCCAGCAGCTCAGGTGCCGCAGGTGCCGGGAAGCAGTTCAGAAAAGCCCAACGTTTGGCGATAACCAGATGAGGTGCCGAGAACCCCCATTTGGTTGTGCCGATCCCAGACCAGATGTAACAAGAACCCTAAGCCCCACGGCACCACGCCAAACCCTGAGAGCTGGGGGTCCACAGTGCCTTGGCAGCAATGCCGCGTGTACATAGACAAGGGGGGCGCGGCAGTGTCAATTCAAGTTGCACGTGCGTGAGGCATCCGATATACAGCGCTGGTTAGCTGTAGGCTTTCAGGCTCAAGGAATCATACGCTCGCACGGATGTTTGCTTCAGGGAGTTGCAGTTGTGTCTTGACCTGAGTCCTGCTCCAGAGGCTAAGGGTTATGCCGTGACATTAGTGAGGAGTGCCAATGTCGGAGACAGCCTCCTGGGGGGCTGCTCTACATCAAGGCTCCTAGTTCGGGCCACTTTGGGACCTTACAAGAGGAGGGTTAAGAGTCAAGCAAAACCAGGAGATCCAGTATCCGAGCAGCTCCCCATGCATCTGGCCGGAAAAAGGACGAACGCGTCTCTGTGCTGCTTGCTCTTCGATATTTTTTGGTGCAGTGTGTCCCAGCCCTCGATCTGAAACCACTAAACCCCTAAACGCCGCACAGCCGACTCGAAGAATTCGGAGAGCCTGCATCGTAACATATCGCAACCGAACAAGGTCAGAGAGCAGGCTTCGTCAAACTCGTAGTCGGGGCTGCCCGAGAGCCTGACTGGGAGTCTTTGTCAGGCTTGGGGGCCGGAGCCCGGAAGCCCTCTTCGGCTTGGGCGGCTTGGGCACCCGGTGCTTCATGCTAGGCTTGCTTGGATCTTTGAAGTCGCAAAAACGCTTCTTGCTGTTGATGCTCGAGCTTTTTGCAGTGGTGTGTGTGCACATCCGCGCCCGAGAAGAACCAAACCTGCACAAGCGTTTAAAACTAGAGCATCCGGCAGCTTTGGCATAACCACGCCAGCTTATCTCGATTCAAGACGATGCCAAATTTGTTAAGACGTTATAAGATCTCACCAGGGTTCCTGGCCGAAAGAGCCATGGGCAACAGCTTCCTCTGCCCCGTGCAGCCAGCAGCCTACATCGGGTCAGGGTCGTAGGGTTGAGGAGCTCTGAGACCCAAAATTGGCCCAAGCGCTCCCCAAACCCTTCTCCAAACCTTCCCAAGCCCCAAACTGTTGGTTGACCCGAGCCCGCAAGGTCGAGCGTCTAAATCCCAAACCCTTTCATCCTCAATCCTCGGTCACCAATCCCCGAACCCCTGCCCCATATCCTCAAAGTTTACGCCCTGGTCAGCCCCATGAGCCTTTAAACAATCCTCGGTCTCCTGGAACTTGGAGGCGGGAGAATTCGGAACAGGTCTCAGGGTCTCGGAGGGTAGGACCGGTAGGATTTCAGATGTACAGGCCTCGCTCCTACGCACAAGTGGCCCGCAACTTGCGAGGACCGATGGCGACTGGCTTGTCCTGCCACAAAGCGTCAGCTTCGATTCAAAGTTCGATGTCGATGAGGACTGGTGACCATGGGTGCAGAAGTTGCTTTACGATGCTCACCTCTTTCCGTTCCCAAGTCGTGAGGCGCAAAACACCTCCAACCGCATTCCCCCATCAGGACAATGTCCTTGGCACCGGCAAGTTCTCCACTGTGTACCTGTGCACGTACCGGGACAACCCTGACCGGCGTTTTGCTCTTAAGGCGCATCCGGCAGTGATGCAGGGACCGTGTGTACTGAAAGTGTAGAGTGTGCTGGGATTTTTGACGGATTTTCAGGGACTCTGTTGGACCGTTTGTAGTTCTACTGACAACGTTTTGGGGATGGTGCAATGGAGCATTCTTTGAGAAGGCGTGGCGTGGCTTTGCACCAGAGCCCGTCAGTATGCATTCGCCCCCTTGGCAGCCAAGAGTCAGTGCTTCCCGGCAGTGGCTGCATGCTGCATGACATGCAACCACCTTTCCCGAAACTCTTAGCTCTATATCCGAGGGCAGTTGCAAAAGCCCTTATAGACTCCGTGCAGGCGATAACAACCTACACCGGTGACAAGGCGTGGCCCGGGTGTCTGCAGTTGTGTGATGTGCAGGGCAGCCCAAAAGCTTCTCTGGCAGGCCTCAGCCTAAGTAATACAATACATCCTATGAATCCACAACCATAAGCACCCCAAACACTGATATCGAGGACATCAGGCTATGATGGTCTTTGGGCTTTTGGTGACTTACAGATGGGGTTGGCAATGTGACTCTCAACCCTCAGCCCTGAGCAGAGGCTTCGTATACCCGAATCGTGGAGGAGATCGCCATCATGAAGGCCAGCCGAGACAAGGGGGGGGAACAGGGCCGCTGAGAGGAAGCCTTTGAAAGTGCGACCGCTGTGGGTTGAGTAGGGTTTGGGCTGGGCTGCAACTGCAGCTGCAGAAGCTCCTTGTCTGATAAACCACGAATGCGCCCCGCCATGGGGTAGAAGGCTCATGAACGGCAGGAAGGAGTGTCAGGTCTTCAAGTTCAACATGTCGAAGGGGCTGCGAAGCAAAGAAAACAGCCCTAAGCCTTAAACGTGGTGTACATAGGCGTTCCAAGGGCAAAGCTGTGACGTGCAGCCACATCCCCGGAGTTGCCTCCGGCTCCGAGCTTCAGAGAGCTCTGCGCTCTTAAGTGTTAGCGGTTTTAGCTCCCGCGCCTGAAGGCCATCAACCATCACTCCAGCATCATCAGACTCATCGACATGGACGAGTCCACGCCCAACACAATCCGATTGGTGCCCCGGCGTGCAATGAACCTGCTCAAGTGAGAGCCTTCTGCTTGCTGTGGTGCGGATCCCAGTGGACGAGCCCAGTCCTGTGGACCCGGAACCCCAAGCTCCCCCTGCTTTGAGTTTAGGGCTTAGGGTTTCGGCCTATATTGCCCATGGAAATCACGGGTACTGAAGCATCAACTCTATGCAGCCCTGAGGTCTTGGAGCTCTGTGAAGGTGGTGAGCTGCCACTGAGACCAGCAGATGGCTTGTACTTGTAGTGGGAGGGTTCTGAAGGTTTGTGCTAGACTTTCGGCTTGGAGTGAAGTTCCTGTTCATGTTCCTGAGCGTTCGTCCGAGTCGAACGTGACGCTATTGCTTCTTGTGCACCTAATCTTAACGCTGCGCGGCTGCGCGACCAGATGCTTGTTACAGTTCAGTTTTGCTAGCGCCGCATGGCATGTTTAGTTCCGATAGTTCCGCTGGGCCGAGGGAACTTTGAGACTTTCAGCCCTTGAGCCCTTGAGCCCTTGAGCCTTGACTTCAGTTTTTAGCGCCAACTGCAGGCCTCGACCCTTGAGGGCCCTTGGAAAGCGGGCACCAGCTGGCCGCCCAGCACAAAATCCATAAATCCTAGTGCATCGAGGTATGATCGCATCCAGCAGAAGCGCTTCTACTCGGCACGCCCTGCTTCATGTTGCTCCGGGTTTAGGGTGTCGATGTTAAAGAGTTTCGGGGACGCAGGGTTTCAAGGGACACGGGCTTGGGGATTTGAGAGATTCATCCCGGTCGAAGTTTCTCGGCTTTCGGGTTTAGTTAACGGGTTGATCGGTTCCTGAATCTTCTGTGGTCCAGGAGCCAGATTCCAAACTGTTGGTGAAGAACCTCCTCCAGGCAAGAGAGAAGCATGCTGCTGGAACGTTTAAAGAGCACAACGGCGCTGTAACACCTGTTTTTGTCTTTTCTTTTCCTCGAGGCGGTGGAGTTCATCCACGGGAAGGGCATCATGCATCGGGACCTCAAGCCGGCTGGGAGCCCGGATGGGCTTGCATGGGCCCGGATGGGCGCCAGAAAGAGCGCTCTTGCGCTTTGTTTCTCCTTTGAAGAACCTCCATCCCCCCCCCTCCCCGGGGATTTAAGCTCTCAGAATTTCTGAACTTCTCGCACCTTGTCACCAAAACCCAAACCCGAAATCCTGGCGCACGGGGCTCAGGAGAACATTCTCCTGGTGAGCAAGGCAGGAAAGGGACTCGGGATGGGTTCACCGTTCAAAGGGCTTTAAGGGTTTACCAGTTTGTGGTTCAGTGTGCTTTCAGGGTCGTTGGACACGCGTCTAAGATACCAATCAATAGGGGGCACAGTGGTACATTAAGGTCGGAGGGGGGGGGTTCGGGGTTCTTGGATGCGGTTTCCCAGCGCAGGATTCAGACTTCGGAGTTGTAAGGTTTGTGGGGACGGTTGTTGCCTATGGTGTCTTTGCGATGCAAAAAACACATTGGCTTGCACTTCTGCACATGCTGCATCTACGTTGCATGTCAGTTTGGCTTTGCTTCGCCCTGCCTCAGAATGGGAGTAAGCACACAATTGAGCGTGGTGTCAAAGAACGAACACCACGCCGCAACTTTTGAGATAGGGGGAGTCCGCGCGAGCTTCGCATCCCGAACTCCCCCAAAAGCCTCTAAACCCTAATGCTGAATCTCGACACCATCTGTCTGAAGTCTCTTGACCCGACCATAGGGAAGCGAGGGAAGTGGGTCTGTGAGGTCAGCAACACAGACATCAAGGTCTCCGACTTTGGATTGGCAAAGCTGGGGCCCAATTTGTCCTCGCCAATCGAATCCCTATTCCTTTTGTGTGCCCCTGAAAGTTGTTGATCCTCAGTTGCTGGCAAGTGTCGGGAACTCACGGCTCTAACCCCTGAACCGTATACCACAAACCAGTATACAGTATACACACTACTCGTACTTTCTCTCTAGGGCCCCCGGTCCGTGTTCATGGGTGCACTTGCGATCCAGCCATGCAGCTTGTGGAGCTGCTGGAACCGAGGCTTTTTCGTCCGCAGAAAGTCCGCACGGTAGGAGAGAAGTGCAGCGCAGTTCAACCTATTCAACCTGTTCAACCTGGCGCTTCACCGGAGAGGTCGAGGGGAGATGCCGACCAATGTAGGGCTGCCGAGCCAAAACGGCCATCTGCCAAAGCGCGGCCCATGACTTCGCTGTGTCCATTGCCCGACCATGCACCACCACTGCCTAGAGAGTTCAGAAAGCGAGAATCGAGCACGCCGGCAGTGCAAGACGGTGCGGGGCTGACGACCATGCCGGGCTGGTTTTGTCGCAGTCTGGGGCTTCGGCTCGACTTGTCTGATTTTGTCCGAAAGGGTGAGAGGGACATCTCATGCAGGCCTTCATTGGCTCAAGTGCCTGACTTCGGGTTCGTCGAAGTTTCCTCAAAGTCCAAGACTAACCGGAAACCCAGCGCCCAGCGCCCGACAGGCCCCAAGCCCCCCAAATCAGAAAGCTGAGCAGCCGTTCTCAGGCTCTCCCGAGACTTTCCACGCCGACTCCCTCGGCAGCGGTCCAAGGGCTGAGAGAAACCACGAAGCACTATCCTGCTTAAGCCAGAGACCTCAATGTGAGGGCTTCGGGTGAACTTTCATGGTTTTTGTAGCGGTCCTGCCCACGCCTGTTGGTCGGCACACACACCCAGACCTTTGGACCGAAGAGCCCACACAGAACCTATCAGCCCCAACTCCAACAGCGAGCAACAGACACACGTCCAAAGAGACGGGACAAGAGATGGCAAAACGCGCCTCATGCAGCTCTTTACACGAGGTCGACCTCAATCTGCGGCTCCGACTTCTACCTTGCGCCGGAGGTCATCAAACAGGAGGACAGCACTGCGGGTCTCTACGATGCTCTACGACGCTCTACGACGCTCTACGAAGCTCTGCGCCTCTCAGGGCGCGGCCTCAAGAATCCTAGGTCTTCACTCAAGTCTCGGTCCAAGAGTCGTGCCAGGGCTTCATGCGTAGGATTTGAAAAGTTGAGAGTCTAAAGTTTCAGGATTCGGGGTTGGGGGTTTCAATGCTGAACCTGATGCTCTGCAAAGTTCGGTGAGGAGTATGGCCGCGAGATAGACATCTGGGCTGTCGGGGTGCGGGGCTTGGTTGTGTGTTTTTTTGCCTCACTTAGCTTGAGAGTTTCATGGTTGGGTGTGAGGGCTAGGACGCAAGTTACCCATGTTTAGGGATGATTTTAAAATTTTAGGGATGATTTTAGGGATGATTTTGTCTCTAGCAGGCAGTCCCGAGTAGACTACTGACACACCAACTTGACAGGCTCTAAGCATTCAGCTCCGAAGACCCTGCATGTGCAACTACATCCTCAGCACAGAACAAGAAGCCAGGTGATCTGCTTTGTTGTCCTCAGTGGTGCGCTGCCTTTCTTCAATCCAGTGCTTCACAAACTGCCGGGAGCCCAAGCAATGCCAGATTTAGTGGCTTAGCACACCACAAACCCCGAGTGTGGAGTGTGTAGGATAAAGGGCTGAAGGCAGCAACTTGGAATGCGATTCGGAGGTATCGCCAGATCGTTGAGAGGGATGTGAGCTTCGCTGACGACCGGTGGCGGGCGGTCTCTGCAGGTGCACAGGCCTCCACCTCAGAACTGCTTTGTGGCTTAGAGTTTTGGGGTTGGAGGAGAGGCTTGAGCTTCGGGTGCTGGTTTGACTCGAACAAGGTGTAGGTATGCCGGCAAAACAATGCGATGGCTCAATAACTCCGAGCAATCCAAACTCGATTTTCACCAGGTTCTTCGTAGGGAATGTATTGGGTCTGCGTCTTGTTTCTCTCGCACCTCGTCGGTCGTCGATCTCCGGCAAGGCAGCAACGACCCAACGACCAATTTCCACAATCAGAGCTATGGTTGGAATGCAACAAGACTCACCCACTGTGCTGAAGAAGAGCCAAACTTCGGTTTTGATGACATGAGGCGTAGACCCTGAAGCTCCGCAACCTCCTTTCTGCAACAATCTGCTAAGGACTTCATCCTGCGTCTACTGCAGGTACGAGCGGGTGATCGGCTAACAGCCGAGCAGGTGGAGCTTGTTGTGATCGGACATTCCTGGGTTAGAAGCAAATTGCTACTCGGCGCGCCTGCTTCTCTGAGACTCCATGGCAACATGACCCAGCTTAGCGCCATGGCTACAGTGATGGTTCTTCGACATTGTTGATCTCTTGCCTTCCACTCCCAAACAACAGGATCCAGCACAAACATGCATAACATATCACAACAGTATATGGCAGCTGAGGCAGACTTGGTCAAAGTTTGCTCGCCAGGCATTGTTGCATCCGTGGCTTCGCGGTGTTACGTCAATGTCGTCACATCCCCAGAAGCAGGAAATTGACCGTCAACAGCATGCAGTTAGCTGTAAAGCTTTGTGTGATTCCCTTCCATGTAAGAGTCGCCTTCTCAAGCCCGCGCTGACGTTCTGCACAGCTTCCCTCCCGAGTTTTGCGAAGATGCTGGGAACACGACATTGGCACAACACGCCGGCCGTGGTCATGCAAGCATCACGGAGGTTGACACGCGTGATGGCGCGTGCATGACTGCGATGTTTGTAGAGACAGACTGAGCCCCAAAACACGGGCTCCAACCTCGCCTCCATCAGGCCTTCATCAGCTTTGGGCGGATTCTTAATGCCTGGAAAAGCATCGTTACTTAAAACCTGAAGACTTGTCCGGATGCATTTTTCAATGGAGGTTTAAACAAGTTAATCGTTTAAAGGTTTGTCTACCGTGGGCTTCTTCCTCAGTCCATAGATTCCCCGTTTTTTTACGTTGGGGGTTCTTTGCTGATGTAGAGCAGCATTGGTCTCACCGTTCACCTGCCGAACCACACGAACAGGAAAACCAGATCTCAAGTTCTGGGTTTATAAAAGATTAAGATTTGTCTTGCAGAAGATATCACAAGCTGCCCAGGTCTTTCTCCACGAGCGAGTCAAGCCAGCGCAGTCAGCGAACTGTGCCGCCGAACTACTACAGCCGGGCTGCCCAGGAGAATCCAGGAGATCTTTCCTCAAAACCCTTTAGACCCCAAACCAACAGTAGACCCAAACAATCGAGAAGGCATGACCCGGAATCCGGACTTCGACAATTGACAGCCTTCCGTGGGTTGAGCGGGCATTGGCAGTGAATAGGGGCACCTCACTTCTCTAGTCCGAGCCCGAAGCACAGTAACACCCTGGCCTGTGCTTTTGCTCTGCCTCCAGGTTCCGAGGCCGTCCAGGCCGCACCTTATCCCTACAAGGTTGCCAGGCCTGCCGAGAGGGAGTGGAAGTTAGGGAAGGGTTTCCTCCGCGCATATTCGAATTGCTCAGTTTGCAACACCTCTTTACACTGCCAGGTGAGGGCCCTCTGAGCCTCGCGAATTCTCGGAGGTCTGCGCGGATAGGGCTCCCAGTGGTTGGAGCCAAACTGAGTTTCAGGTTTTACTGCTGTCTGGGGCAAGCCCTCCATGCAGACCTGCGCTTAGTGCAAGGAAGTGCTCCTCACGCGTGCACGACAAAAAGAGACACAATTCACCCAAGAAGGACTTGCTGGACCCCGTTGAACTCCACTACACTCTTGGGCCCGTGGACCTCCCTGGAGCCCAAACCCTGAAACCCCAGGTCGGGGCGACAGTGGCTACAGCGAGCTCAGCACAGTTTGGGGGGCGGGGGAGGATACATCTCATGAGTAGCCGGTTGGTGGTGTGTGGTGGCACACTGGCTGTCCATCCGCTTGCATCCTATCTCAAAGTCTAGGGACATAGAGTCGAGCAAGTCTGAAACCCTTGAGATCTAAAATGAAGCTCCAGAATCCTGAAGCGCCCATGCCCTGAAACTAGCCTAGGGGCCTAGGGGCCTCTTTAGTGGCCCGAGCTCAGAGCCGCTTGCAGCGAACTACCTTCTTGCACCTCGCTCAAACCTCAAAGCCTCGGTCTTGGCTTTTTTGGCTTCTTGGCTCTTGGAAGAATAGCGGAAAGGGCGGGTGACACCCGTCACCCTAAGGCCAAGAATTCAGGCTAGCGGCTAGCTGCAGCGCTGTCCTCAGTGGGCTAGGATCAGCTAAGCTTTCCTGATACCGAGCCTTATCCTGAAACTTTCGGCAGATCGGCAGAGCTTCGCGAGGCTTCGCACTTTCAGACACTTCGGCAGGGTCGTGTGAACATTTAGCAGCCGCAGGATGCAGGGTTCTACGCCTCTTGTGGAGCAGGATAGCCACGTACGGCAGCGCCCTTCCGCATTGCAAGCCTCTTTCGTTAAAGTTAGTCTGGGGGGCACTGCTCAATGATGCCAAATGCCTCTTAGTAAGAGAGGGTTCTAGATTCCAGAGCTGCAGACCTGGCGGCTCTGAGGTGTAGGCCTGCAGTGACTAGCTAAGCCCTGCTAGTCTAAACCCTTGCCCGTGAAGGTAAGACTACCCCTAACCAGAGGTCTAGAAGAACTCCTTCATGTTTATCTTGTCATTCTGATCCGTACTGAGGCAAGGAGTTGAGTCAGTTGAGAGCACTTTCTTTGGTTCAGGGTTTGGTGCCTTGGGATGCCTGATCCGCACATCTGATTAATTAATACCTCCACATTTAAAGATTCTTTTCGTCGAAAATCCCGCGGCAAGACTACTTTCCATTACGGGTAAAATCTGTCTGTAGGACTCTGTAGGCTTTCAAGAAGCCGAAGCTTTTGCTAAAGGCTGAGGCCCTTCATAAAGCTAGGATTTCTTATGTGATGCCTTACTGGAGGAGAGAAGTTTTCATTCTTTCCTGAGTAACCCCCTTATGGGCTCTGCCCGGCAAAGACAGCACCACATGTACAAAAAGGGACCACAGTTATGGCAGGCCCGGCGCGGGGGGGAGGGGGGGGGGTGTCCTGCTCCGAATCAATACTTTGCTATTCAGCTTTAATAGAGATTCACTACATTCCTATTGTTTTCAATATTTTAAGGGGCTGCGCCCATGGGCGGGCAGCGCACGCAGAAGCCCGGGGCGAGCAGTTTCTAAGCATGTTGAGGCCCCTAAACTCCCTTAAAATCTCTAAGCGTTAAGTTTCTAAGCATTTTCAGGCCCCTGAACTCCCTTCAAATCTCTAAGCGTTTGAGGCTCCGAGACTCCCTTAACGTTTCTAAGCACTTTATAAGGCCCCTAAACTCCCTTTTTCCTAGCCCCGGGCTTAGACACGTCGCTTATGCCCGCCCTTTGGGGGGCATCATGCTCCTGATGCCCCCGCGCGGTCCCGCCCCGGGAGCCGCTGATGCTCCTGATGCGCGCCTGGGGGTCCCGGGCTGGACCCGCTGATGCTCATGATGCGCGCCCTCTGGGGGCCTCCGTGGCGACGCAAAAAACCACGAAAAAAAAACCGTTCACCGGCGGCACGCGGGGGTCGGCGGCACTGGCGTCCGGCCTAATTCTGCTTCGCAGAAGGCCAGAGGCCAGCAAGGCTATTCCCGGGACGACCCGGGCTAAAAGGTCCGCATTTGCTCGGTCCTTTGGGGACCTCGCGCTGCCCGATTTAATGGCTACCGCCAATGCCGCCGACCCCGACAGGAGGCCCTAGGGTTTACACAAACACCCCCTACATTGCGCTTACATATATCCATAGGTTCTAGAGTTCAGGGGGGGCGAAACATTGAGTCTTCACGCGCAGGGAGTTGGCACGCAACCTTAAACCCTAAACCTCACACCTTAAACTCGAAACCCTGAACCCTTAAACCCCACTAAACCCTCAACCCCCTTAACCAGGAGAGCCGAACCGGGGTGAGGTGGCGGGTAAGCGGTGATGGCGGGGGGGTGGGGGGGGGTTGGGGGCAGAGGTGAAGGGGCGAAGGCGGGGCGGGGCGGAGTGGGGGGGGCGGGGGGGGGGGGGGGGGGGGGGGGCGGGGGGGTCGGGCATGCATGGGAGTGGGGGCAGAGGCAAAGGGGTGAGGGGGGAGGTGGAGGGGCGGGGGTGGGCGGGGGGGCGGGGGGGCGGGGGGGGGTAGGGGGGGCGGGGGGGGTCGGGCATCAAGGAGCCCCTCGAACACTTCGTTGGGGAAGCCGGGGGGGTGGGGGGTAGGGGTCCGGGGCATGCCCTAAACCCTGAGATGGGGCAGGGGTGAGGGCGGGGGGGGGGGGGGGGGGGGGGGGCGGGGCCAAAGGTGGCGAAGGGGGTGAGAAGGGGCGTGGGCGGAAAGGGGCGGGGGGGGGGGGGGGGGGGGGGGGCGGGGGGGGGGGGGGCGGGGGGGGGGGGCGGGGGGGGGGCGGGGGGGCGGGGGGGGGGGGGGGGGGGGGCGGGGGGGGGCCGGGGCATGCGCTGGAGCCCCTCAACTTCATTTCCAAGCAAAAAGGCAAGGTAGGGGTGAGGTGGGGGGAAGGGGTCCGCATGCCCCAAACTGCTGACACACACGGGTGAGGGGTATAAGGGGTGAGGGCGGGGGGGTGGGAAGGGGGGAGGGGTGGGCGGGGGGGGGGGTCCGGCATGCACCGCAGCCCCTAAAACAGCGCTGGAGCCCCTAACAGGGTAAGGGTGAGGTGGAGGGGGTGAGGGCGGGGGAATTTGGGCATGAGGGCAAATGGGTCTTCACTGACGCCTCCCCCGCTAAAGCAGGGGTCGGCGGACATTCCCATTCTTTTTCATGGAGAACCAATACATTGCCATGGTCTTCTTATTGCGGCGCCCTGCCTTTCTTATTGCAGTGTTGAGGGGGGGGGGCCACTTCAACAGATGCTCGGATGGGGGTTTAGGGTTTGGACGTGAGGAGCTTTTGGAAACCCGTGGTGTGTGAACGTTGCATTTGGCACCCTTTCCCCAAGGTCATGGCAGAAAGGCCGCCGGAGGCTCTGACCTTTGACCTTAATTACCACCAGTAGTGTTTTGAGTTTAAGTGATGAGTCATACTCTTTTCCCTGAGGCGGGATGTTGTGTTGGATCTTCCAGTTTAGTTTGGGTTTGAGAGTCAGTTGAGAGTTCAAAGCTTGTAGGGGTTCTTCGAACTTACCAAGTGCGTAGGCGCTTGGTCCTGGGGCTTGAGGACTTCAGGATCTAGGCGTTCGAGATTTGGTCGTTGAGCGCTTGGGAACCTAGCCCTTTGTTTGCTCCCTGCCGTGAAGGAGGAGAAGCCGGCTGAGACATACCCGATTATGGCGCTGGCCCAGAAGAGGCAGAGCTCAAGCTGCGACATGGTAAGCTTAGGATTTACCGGGATCTCATGCCCAGGGTCGGCGCATAGAGCTTATCGAACTGGGGAGCGCAAGGGCTCGGGATCAAGTTGCAGGCGCCGATAATGGCATCAGCCAGCAGTACGATGCAATTTGATGCCTGCATTTCGCCGTAAACTCGAAACCCTATAAAGCCTACCGTAGCCGGGTGAGCTTCATGGCAGGACCATGCTCATGAGCGAAGGCTGCCCTGATCGTCGGGGCTCCCAAGGTCAGAGGGGCTATTGGCTCGTGGAGTTTCGGGCATATTGAAGCCCGAACTTCTTGACACCCGCAGAGTTCCCGTCGGCCAAGGTGAGCGCATTCGAGCCGAGATGCTGGCTACGGTGCGGGAGAAAGGTACCCTTCAGCGGACATGTCCTTTTGGAGTCTTGGGGTCTTAGGATGGGGCAAAAATGGGCACAGATGGTAAGTGCAGCCAGTACTGAAAGAGGAGCACGCCACGGGCTCCATGCAAGCTGCGTGTGCAGCACAACGAAACAGCTACAAAGCTTCGCCTGCGAAGCACATCGAACTTCCTGAAGCATAGCATGGACAGGCACGAAATATGGCTAGCAGCAGCTATTGCTGAGTTGAATTGGACGCGGCAAGTTTGCTGAGACCATTCGTAAAGGCAGCATGTGTACATGGACAGAGCATACTCAGCTCCAATTCCTCATCACGGAGGCCAAGCCGAGTTCATATTTTCCTGGCTGCTCGTGAAATTACGTGACAGATGTCTTGGCTCTCCATGCTTATGACGTACCGCAAACATGGTAGACTCCAAAACCATGTCAGTAACGAAAAACATGGGATGTTAATGGAAAAACCTTGCTTTGATATCTTGAGCTGTCACAGCAACTTCCTGCTTAAATTGTCGACGCTCCCTGTGGGATCAGGTATGCTCCCCTACTACGAGAAATACCTCTGCAAGATCCTGAGATCGGAGGGTAGCTGCTTTTTTTGCCTCGAAGCCTTGGAGCAGGGATCCATTAAGAAAGGAAACCAGGTGAGAGCTTAGGGGTTCGCGTCAAGTCACGCCCTGCAGAGTCGCACTGTAGCTGAGGACGGCTTTGCATGTGAGGCTTGTTCGACTAATCAGACTTAGACTGGAACGCCAGAAGGAGCCAACAAAAATAGCAGTAAGATCCAGTTGGTGCTTGCGAGATGCTTGCGACCATCGTCAACGCTGGACGGTGACAAGAATCCCTGAGCTTTAAGAATGCCCCAAGCCTGAAACCCCGAGGCCCTGGAGTCGTGGGCCCGCCAGACGAGGGCCTCAAGGCTCCACTTTAAAGTTGGTTGAGTGTCAATGTTGACCTAGCGGCACACAATGTTTTATGGATTTCGAGGTCAGATTTTGATGTGAAAGCTTCAGGGGTTTTACCGAAACCCAAAGCTTCACCAACCTCTGCTGAACCTCGAAAACTCCATGTTCTGCTGTTCGTTCATCTGTTTTCATTGGGACGCTGCTGCGGTTGCCGGGCTCGCTGGGCTCTTGTGCTGTGTCTGCTCGCAGCAAAGCCCTACCATTTGCAAGGCCACGGTTTGGGCTTCGGATTCCGGACATTCTTGAGAATTCAGGGCGGTGGGTTTTGAGCGGGCCCCAAACGGAGATGTTTTCACAGATTGTCGCACGTTTCTTGATTGGTCGTCTTAAAGGGAAAGGTGCGGGCCCTGCCTTCCGGAAGAGCTCAGTAGTAGGGCCGTGGCCGTCTTGCAAAAGACCACCATTGTGCTGAGTAGCAGCGCTTGGCTGAGCACCTGTGCCGAATTGCCCCATGAGGTTCATGGGGCAAGGGAAAAGCATCTTGAGAGACTCTAGAGATCCCGGAAAGCGACGTCAACTTGCAGCTCACCGTTTTCTCGAATATCGCTGAGTTCGAGGGCAGTGCTCGCAGTCAGCATTTCTTGCTTTCCCATCCTCCCACCCTGTAAACGATTTGTCAGCAGCCGCTGATCTTCTTGTCGAGCTGGTGGTCATCTGTGTCATCCACAAGTGCCGTTTGTGCTTTGTGTTTTGATTCGGGGTTCCCTTTGCCTCCGGTTCTGCACTCCAAGCTGTAATCTAAAGGACCTTCGGCCCTTTCTGATCAACGTTGCGACTCAGCACAGAGCCCGGGGGTCCCTTTGCCACAACGTTTGAAAGTCCTCATCAGCCCAAGCCAAACTCTGCAGTCCAAAAGCTTGCAGGCGCAATTGCAGAAGCAGAACGAAGAGGAGCAAGCATGGAGCTCGGCGATGGATGCGTGCGTCAGAGTGAGGGTTTTGGGCTGCGGCGGCGGCTGCTGCTGCTCCATATGGTGTGTTGGTGCCAAAGTCTGAGTATCATGGTACATGTTTTGTCCGATGTAGGGCGCTTTTGAATTGAACAGTCATGATCGGGTAGCATAATCCGCTGCTAAGGCACAAGCTTTTATGTGAGTTCCCCTTCGACTGTCGTGCCGAAGATTCTTCAGACTCTATAGCTACATACCCATCCTCAACCCGATCACCCCAAAGAATTTGTGGAATTGCCAAGGCAAAGCTCGAGGAGAAGATAAAGGATGCCAAAGAAAATTTGGGCGACATCGAGCTCGGGCCACAGACACGAGTACTTGGATTGGGTCTCTGTCGTCTTGCGCCATGTCGCTGCAGCGTCTTTTTGGTGTGACTCTGTCACCTGGTGTTTCTACGGACTTGACGGTGTTCTGGAGTGGGCCTTGCGCCAGGTTTAAGGGTTCAAGGGTTCAGGCCTCTAGTTGATCAGCTCATGTTGAGGCTAAGTCCTCATCCCAGGAAAGTCCTGTAGAAAGTCGGATAAGCAGGGTATGGGCAGTAAGCAGTGACAGGCAGTAGCAGTATCTCACTGTGTAGCTGAAAGGGCCTGGTGCTCAGGTTCACGTGTCGAAGGAACATCTGGTCTTAGGTTGAGGTTCCAGCATTCAGGTGCTGCTTCCAGACGGAGCCATGTAAAACGCCACGCAGTAAACAACTCTCAGAGACGGGCTCCCAGAATTAAAGGACCCCGGGCCCTCCTGAGCCTTGGGCGCACAAGGATTCGCGATGCTCTCCTCGCCAAAGCGACCTTCTTCAACCGAATTGGGGACAAGGCCCGAAGCTGCATGACCCATGTCCTCTTTTGGAAGACAACGGTCGTTTTGGTGTTTAGGATTTCGCAAGTTTCCGGGTTTTGTGATGAACTAAGCTAGCATTGCACAGAAACCGTGTTGATGTTTGAACTCTCGCTGATGCTGAGGCAGGCCCACCCGGCATTCCAAACAGCTTGAGCGATGTTGAACAGCCCACGGTCTTGGGCGTGCGGCGTGCATAGTACACAGCTTTCAAGTCTTGCGATTGTTTTATCGAGTCGCAGGATCAGGCCATCAAAGGCTACGAGGACCCGACTTGCAGAGCCTTGGGTTTAGGAGTTTAGGGCTTCCGTCACTTGAGCTGCAAGGCCATGCGTGGGTTCGTGATTTCATTCGAGAGTGTCGCTTCAAGCCCAGGATCATTCCTCTCTAGTTCGGGCAAGTAGGCATCTTGTGTTGCGCTTTGCTCGGCCTTCATGAGCTGGCTGTAATGACAGGAAGCATTTGCAAAGACGGTGGGAGTCGGCGCGAAGCTGGACAACATCCTCACTGTCCTCTGTCTGTGTAGCGGTCTGTCAGTGCCGTGGTTCTGTTCCTTGGATTTCCTTGGGTTCCTTGGGTAGTAATGGATCGATGTTTTCGTCTAATGCACCTCAAAATTTCTATCTTGGTGCTTCAAAACCTTAGCATTTTCAGTTGAATTTCCACATGCCTGCATGAGCTTTTGCTCAGCGGTCAAGTGCTCAGCGCAGGTCATCCGAATTGCTTTTTTCTTCGACGATACCGTCTGGGCCCCATCTGCGAGGGTCCTTGAGGTTTTTGCCTTGCAACTTTGCTGGCAACATGAGGCTCTTGAAAGCCTTTCCCGCCATGCCCAGAATTTGAAGCCCTAGGCCCCAAACTTTCTGAACCTTGACCAATTCCAAGCGTCCTCAGCTCCGAAGCCCTTCCCCATGCCCAGAGCCTTCTCGCATCAGGCCCTGATGAAGAAGCACATCGATCGCGCCAAAACAGAGCTGGGGAAAGGAGGTCTCGGCCCCAATCCAGGCTTCAGAGTATATAGACAGGGCACCTGGCAGCAAGATGCCTTCGGAAATTACTCTGAAGTCGAGAAGTGCGAGAGCGTGAGCGATGAAGGGCCTGACCTCTGCTGAAAAGGTGACTGGGAGCGGCGAAATAAGCTCAAGGCCGCAACTCTGGATCTGTGTCTTGAATTGACGGACTGTGGGATCGTGGCCAGCATTGGCCTTCCGAAGGCGCAGGATCAAGTCTTCAGGGTTTGGGACGTTTGGAGATGTCATCATCACAAGTCTGTGAGGCCGGCAGCGCACCAACATACTTCTTCTGGCCTCACGCTCCATGCTGTTCTGTAGCAGCATCCTGCAACGAACCGTTCTTGGCGCGCGTCCGATGGGTCCCTTTTGTTGCGCTGTCGGCCGTCAATGCGAACTTTCAGCCCTCGGTTCCGAGCCTCCCGACAGCTTCATTCGTTAAAGCAGAAACCCACACCTTGGAGGTCTATGAGGGCATCTACTTGATGATCTCCAGGAACTGGAAGGAGGTGGGGGGGGGGGGGGGGGGGGGTTCCGGCTGAAGCTTTAGAGGGTTCTAACGCTCAGAGTCTTCGAGTCTCAGAGTTTGGGGAACTCGGCGTGCAAGCAACCCACATGCCCGAAATGCCATGAAGTCTCAAGCCCTAAACCCAGAGCCTGCAAGCCCAAGCCCAAAAAAGCCTCAACACCCTAAAGTCCTGCGGCTACAGAAGCAAACCACCTCAAACGGCAAGCCCGAAAGTTGGCGGAGGCGGCAAAGCTTTTCCTGAACGTCATGCCAACGTTCACAGCCACAGAGCTTGTGGAATTCAAGGACCTACATTGTTGACAGCTTGAGGCTTGAAATCTTGCCGGAGTTTGAGGCTGGTTGTTTAGGAGGGCGTGCCCAATAAAGTATTGATTACGGGTTGCACACACCACCACCTTCCCATTCAGCAATACGACCATTCTGAATCCGACCCTCCAGCGGCGCGTTCTTATTGGCTTGCGTTTAATGTAGTCGTGCTTACAAACCTTGTGCCGCCCCAAAATTCAACCGCCCGCCTTGGGCTTGGTCTATGTCTTCACTGCTTCAGATTCAGTGCAGGTGCGAGGATCCCCAAACCCGGAACCCGAAACCCTTGTTCTCAGGACTTCGTCTTCTATGCTGTTATAGTCGCCATGGTCTTGCCCTCAGCAAGCGGCCACGCGTGTACAAGCAGCTTTCAGGGATCATGGCCTGACTCGGGGAATTTCGGATGTGTCGTAGGGTTTAGGGTTTTCGAGTGGTTGGGATCTTCTGCTTGCTCTCCCTGTCAGCCGATACATGTCTCAAGCCTCCTGGAGTTCAAGAACATGCCAGCCCCGAAAAACCCACAGGGAACCCACGGTAAACTCCAAAACTTTGAAACACTAAAACTAAATTTCCTAAAGTATCCAGAGACTGGCAAACCCCTGAAACCCCAACGCCCTGAAGAACCAACGTACCAACCAAATCACCATTCCAGGTGTCCATGGATCGGCCAACCGTGCGAAATCAGCTGGTGAGTAGCCCCGAGGCAAGTGGCACCCGGCTTGGGATGGTTTGAAGGAGTTTTCAAGTAGAGGACAAAGTGCAGAGCCGCGGAGTCGCAGAGTGTTTTAAGTTTTTGGAGTGTTGGCAGCCTTGCGGGGCTGGTAGCGCCGTCTTCCCCATGCTTGCGCTGTGGGTTCCTAAGTTTGGCCATGGGAAGGGTCGATGGTGTCAACCCGTGTGGCGCATGCACGGGGCTTTGAAGTCGATCGGAGAGCACGCAAACGCCGAACGGCATCCAAACCGCACCTACAAAGCTACAAGTAGGCCCCGAGCGCTTCCCATGCACGAAGTCGTGTTCTCGCCTCGGTCCCTTGCGTTTCTTCAGACTTTTGCATCGCTCCGTGTTTTGCGCGGCGTTTTTACATTCCTGCGTATTCTTTCCTGTCCCCATTCGTTGGGCCCTTGCATGGGTTTGCCTCGGTTCGTTTTCGTGGTCGGCTACGGGGCTACAGGGGGATTCGCATTGACATGTCGCCATGCCGCGGAGTTGCTCAAACCACTCTCTCGCCTCAGTTCAGTGCGAGTGATCCCTATGAACTGCAGAGCTTTTGTCGCTGTTGGCTGCAGGGCTCTCAAAGTGGCCTTGGAGTACTCTCAAAGTGGTCTTGCAGCTGTTGGACTGACTTTGGAGTGGTCTTACGCTGTTTCGGGTGGCCGCCGGTCCATGCAGGCGACAAGGCGTACTGTCTGACTGTCTGAAGTGGCATGCAAAAGTCAAGGATGGCGTGCTGCACATGCTCCAAGACCCCGCCAACACCTTCAAGTGCGTGTCTCCTTCACTTGAGTGGCTTCGAAGACTGCCTGCTAGACTGTATAGTAATGACTAGTTGTGGGAAGAGTTGAGGCGTCCACAGGCTGGAGAGGACACCCAAGTGACCATTCTCGTTTCGGCTTGGGCGGCATTCTCCGGGCTGAGCGTTGCTTAGGCCCAAAACCACCTTTTTGCCTTGGCTTGTTGAAGCTGCAGTGGAAGTTTCGGATTCAGCTGTTTAGCCGGAAGCTGTGGAGTCCTAGACTCTGAAGCGCTCCATCTGAACTCAAAGTCCCTCGATATGATGCATAGAACGCGGGTTCGCACCTTGCAGGTCTTAAGCGTCATCAAGGAGACGCCGAACCTCCAGGAGTTCCTTGAGTCTTACTTCTATTGCCTAGGGCTCAACAGCACCCGACAGCACCCCTGAACCCCTGGCCCCAACCGCGCAAACCCTAAGACTAGAGTACCTTAAGGCGCTGGGAGCTGGGAATTTTGCTATTCATTCCTCGTCCCCGGGAGCCTGTGGTTTAAGGGTTTAAGGGTTTTGGGATGTTGAGGGCACAGTGCTCGTCAAGAAGGTCTTGGCCCTAGGGGCCCTCATGCCAAGCCGGAAGGGAGACATTTTGGCCCGACATTTGCTTGATCATTGGATCACTGGTCGCATGGGCTGATGCTGGCAAGGTCGGTACAAGGAGTTCATGAAGTCCTTCGTGCCTGTCGTGGACCTCATCAGAGCAGATAGGCTGGGTTCTGCGGACCTTTCAAGCCCCAATCTCTGAGCCCAACCCCGAGGCCCCGGGACCCTGGTCCCCCTACAACCCCTGAATTCCCTTCATCTCAAACTCAAGCTAGTAACTCCCGGTTATTCCAGAAATTCTCGGGGCTCATCGTCCGTGTAAAGTCGCTGCTTTAGCACTTTGCATCTCGCATGCCAGGTACCTCATGAGGCACGTGAAGTACTTTATGCGGATGATGAGGCTCAACGCGTACAGGCAAGGCAGTGAGTTTCTGGCGACATGAGGACTATGCCTTCTGCCCCTAGACCAGGGTTTAGGTTGGCCATTTGAGTTTCAATCTTTTCTTAGCGAACAGTTGGAGCCAGCAAGCGAAGCTGCAGGCCTGCAACACAGGACACGCCGCTCAGATCCGGGGCTTTTGCGCCCATCAATCCTTGACGCCCCTGATCATATGATGCTGTCTAAGCAAATGTCCATGCTCATAGTTTCGGATGTCTCTGCCTCTTGATTCAGCCCTCGATACTAAGCCGCTCCCCCCAGCTTGAACTTCCTCGATCTCTCCCTAAACTGACCAGACCCAAACATGGTGCGGTTTTGAATGTCTTCCAAGCCCCCAAAACCTTATCACTGAAGCAGGCAGTTCCTCGCCTCGTACAGATCAGTGAAGTTGGAGGCCGGATTTCTCGTTTGCTCCTCTGCATTCAGGGTGAGTCGTGCCATTGGCGTGGGTGACCGTGGCTTCATTTTTTCAGGGTGCTTCAGGTAAGGTTAGGTATTAGACTTTTTCAGTCTTATTTTGCTCCAGTTGTCCCTGATCTGCGTTCCGGCCATCACCAGGCTACCATGACTCCACGGCCCGCAGCTGAACGATGCCAGAGCCAAGCAACCCCTGAGTACGCCAATGTTTTCCTTCCGACCTGAACCGTAAACTGCAAACCCCACGGCTGGCCCTCCACGGGAAGGTCTGCCTCAACTCCGCCTTGAAGCTCCTGGAACCTCCCTGAACCTGACCGAAGCCCCGAAGCCTCCAAATGCGATATTCAAACCCCAAAGCCCCACATCAACTCCAAATCTTTCAAGCCCCAAGCCGCCCAAGCCGCCCAAGCCGCCCAAGCCGCCCAAGCCGCCCAAGCCGCCCAAGCCGCCCAAGCCGCCCAAGCCGCCCAAGCCGCCCAAGCCGCCCAAGCCGTAGGCCATGGCCAGCGAGTTTGGGGTCTCCGCCCACTTCATTGACAATGAGCTTTCGCCCGAGGGCCTGGCTGGATACCTCTCATGGGGATGGGGGAGGGGGGCAGAGGGTTGGTTTGAAAGCTTGGGGACAGTGCTGAGTTGCAAATCATTAGAGGACGTGTAAATGCTGGCTGTTCTCAGTGACTCGTGGATGTTGATCCGGGAGGTTCAATTGTCAGGCAGTTGCAGGGGGGTCACGGCGTCCGAGGTAGCATCCGAGCGATCTTGATGCAGTGCTTTCATGTCAGAGACTGTTCTGTATTCAGAATCAGACGAAAGTAGTTCTTCAAACAGTCACACGGGCCTGGGCTCACTGTGGTGGTCACCTTGCAACCCGGTCCCACAGCCGCATTCGAACACCGCTTCGTCTTCACTAACGCAGCAGAATGCTTCAAGTATCTGTGCGCAGAGGCGCTCGAGGTCGTTAGCGAACTCGCCGTGCCTTCTCGCGACCGCAAGTAGCTACTAGCTACACTGCTACACTGCTACAGGTAGTTTGGTTCAGGCCTTCCGGAGCGCACACAGACGGCACCAGGGGCACTCCATGTCAAAAAGCCTGGCGTTTGACTTGATTCCGGCAGTTGTTTGAACTTGCATTGTGAGAATTGTGAGCTTGTCGTTCGGGAGAAAATGCCTGTCACAAACATCCCCTCAACTTCTGAACATGCCAACATCAATGGTTTGGGGCTTTGTGCATTAGTCTTGTCGGTTCTGGAAGGAGGCGCGCTGTCTCAGTACATGTATGAACATGATACAGCACTAGCCGATTTGTCGTTTCTGGACGACGACACTCGGCAGGTCTCCCGATATTTGTGTCAAGAATTAAAACAAGTGTAGCCGACGCAAAGCACGGCGATGGATATCTCGCTTGCTTGCAAGCCAGAGCACTGTCGCCAAAAGCAACCCTAGCATTGTGTTTTCTTGTGTTGCTCTCGCGGGGTTTTGGGGTTGTCAGGCTTGCTGTGAAAAGGCTGTAAATGGCCACCATCTCCCCTGCACCTGAGACCCGAAAGGTGACGTTTTTCATGTGGGCTGCGATCTCCGTGCGCCGTCAGGTCCTTCATTTCCTCCGGCAAGCTCACCTGCAAGATCGATAAAGCTGACGCCTCAAAAAGCCTGGGTCAGAGCCAATCTATACTGACGTTTTGGTCCTTGTTCCGCTGCTTGCACCCGACTCGGACATTTGCTAAACGCACTCAACCAAGCGGAACATGAAAACAGACCAAGCGGAAGGACCATGCAGTCGGTTCCTAAAAGCCTCAACGCTTAAACTGAAACTGAAGACCGCTGTTGACTCTTCACCTGCAAATGCCTAGCTCGAGGTTGCCGGCGTTGTGGAGTCGAACGAATCCGACTCCCGAAGCCAGGCAGGTTGAAGCTTCAGGTTCAGCAAGAGCCTGGAACACATGAGAAAGCGTTTGGTTTCGGGGCTTGGGGTTTTAGTCTTAGGGTTCTGGATTGATACAGGTCTATGCTGGAGACAGTTGAAGGCTGCCATTTAGGATTTTGTGTGCCTGGGCTCAAAATAATTCCCTGCAGCTAAACTGTAGCAATTGCAAGCAGGTCTACGTGGAGATCATCAAGCAGGGTGATCTTCTGTCTCGGCCTCGAAAGCTTAGACCTGGGAGTTTTGAATGAAGAGTTCCGGCTCGTCCTCTTGCTGCACCACTGAACATTAAGGCTTGAACATTAAGGCTTCAAACCCGATAGACCCAGAGCACAAACTTGGGACAAGACCCATAAATAAAGCAGAGCTTGGTCTGCCTCGAGAAACGTGTAGGAACGAGCCTGGGCTAAGCTCATCACATCGCTTGCGCCAAAGGCTCAACAAGATGCAGAAGCTCTCAGGCGTCATCGATATGTAGTGTGCAGAGGCCGGCAGCAAGGACAAACAGAGGGGGTCAGGCAATTGACAAGGGGTTCCACAAGGGCGCTTCTCCTTGTGCTTGGCTTTATTTCTGCTCCACCTCGGCCTCAGCCTATTGCGCCCTTCATCCTTCACACGTCTGGGGCACATGAAGCACCCCCTGAAGGAAAAGTCAACGGCATGAGCGAGCCCACCCTTCCAAAACCTGCAAGCCCCGCAAACTCCAGAAGTCTCCAAACCCGGTCGTTGCAGAAAGCAACTCACCCTACAAGTGTTGAGTATGGTACGTGACTTTGGTCTTGTAGGACGGAGCCGTTTCTACACATATGTGAACCCCAGGCCCGTTCCCGAAAGTCTTGAGCTCCACCACAACCTCTCCATGAAGGCACCGCCCCCCTGAAGATGCAGCAGCTTGCCCCGGAGACTTCGACGTGGGCCTGCTGCTGGGGGACGACAGAAAATTGCGCGTGGCTGTTAGATCCTTGAGGTTGTTGGCTTGCCTCGCCTAAACCCTCAACACATCGACCCTCTACTAACATCCGCTAACACCCGCGAACATCCTCAACCCTCTGAACGGAGTATCGAGCTTGCCCTTGCTTGTACCGCCGGCTCCGCGTGGCTCTGCAACAGCTTCAGCATAGCTGTCATGTACCCTTCTCCCCCCCCAAACCCCAAGCCATGCGGCTCGCTTAAGCCGTTGATCTCAACAACTTGCATGTTATCCTACCAGAGCCAGAGCCTTGAGCGAGGGTGCATGGCCTCCCTGTAGCCTAGATCCTATTGATCACGCAGCCTAGGCCCCAGAAGCCCTGAACCTTGAACTGCATCCTGAACCTCAAACTCAAATCCCGGAAATAAGTTGGGAGACACCCGGGAGCCCAGTCCAATGGCTTGCGTAGGGCCCAGGCTCTGGGTTGCAAGTTGCACTAGGCTTGGATCTGCCCCACATGGGCGCTGGCTCCTCGGTCAGTGCCGAGAAGTACAAAGGCACTCGGGCCCTTGCAGGGGCTTCGGCAGGTTCCGGGGCTCCTAGTGGCTACCAATGAAGTTCTATAAACATTCTCCTATCACCTGCGAGGGATGCAAGTGATCATAGGCCATAATGGGCCATACAGGCCACCTCGAGCCTTGACCTCAGAAAGGCTTAGAAAGGCTGGTAATTTGTAAGTCTTGCGCCCATTCGCCTCCGACGTTTCTGCAAACAAAGCTTTGTCCCGGCAAGGATTGGGGTTGAGACGATGGGGTCGCTAGACGGCTTGAGCTTTGGTTGCTTCGTTGCTGTGGACCGAGTCGCTAAAGGCTGATTTGCCAGTTCACAAGCTTCCACATCTGCAGAGATTGCAGAGCGTAGAGGCACTTTCTGGCACAAACCAGGCCTGAGGCAGCGGCTAGAGCACCAACAAAACCATGAAATACGCACCCTGGTACCCTTACTTGCGAAAGGTATACATACAATCCCTGAGAGCCCAGAGGGAAGGGACCACAAGACGAAGCCTCGCAGCCTCGCAGGGGCAGACTTTCCCGAGGCCACCGTTGTCACTGTCAAGCCGAGGCCAACCGCGGATCCAGTGCTAACAATTTACATCTTCGATAGAAGTAGGAGTGTGTTGACAGACAACCACTACTGCGGGGAAAGCTGTCAGGCAAGCACACTGTCTAAGAGGCGCATGAGGTAAAACATTGATGAGGTGCCCCTTTGGCCTTCGGAACACGAGTAGGGGAGCTAGATATTTCCTTCGCTGAAACCCTGATATTCTGTGATATTTTGCTGAAATCCATTTCTCAAACCTTTTTATTGGAAAGCTGTAGGGTTGTCGGGCGTAGACTGTAAGGATCAGGGATTTGGAAATTTATTGTCGCCAAAGCTCTTGGAAACATTGGCGAGAGTTGTTTGCGATTAGCTTGGGGCCCCGGGGGCTTGCCCGAAACCGGGAAAAACATAGCTTTTTCTAGTTTTTTCTAGCTTTGGGGCCCCGGGGGCTTGCCCGAAAACCGGGAAAAAACATAGCTTTTTCTAGCTTTTTCTAGTTTTTTCTAGTTTTTGCTAGCTATTTCTAGCTTTTGCTAGCCTTGCCTAGCCTTCTCTAGCCTTTCGTAGCAGATCGGGGCCCGATTCCAGGAAGGATTTAGCGAGCCGGGGTCTGAAGACAGGAATGTCGTAGCAAGGTGGATGGCCAGCAAAAAAGGTCAAAGTCCACTTCTGATTGCCAGGAATCAGTATTGTATGAATGCGTAGATTTTAAGGCCGATGCCGGTAAGTAACGCCCAAACCTCAGGCGCCGACAGGTACAATTTCAGATTAGATTTGATTGAAAAAGCAAGCTGTAGTTTCCTGCCGGCATCTTCTGTACAGGCCCTTCAAAGGCATGCTTCACCCCAGGAAATTCGTAGCTTATCTTAGCTTATCTTAGCTTATCTTAGCTTATATTAGCTTCTCCTAGCTTTGCCTAGCCTTCTCAGGTTTCCTTCAGTTTTCAGTGGAACGCATTGGAATTCTAGATTTTTCCGGTAATCCAAAGACGAGCCTGATCATTGTTTTACCTCATGTGTTCTTATGACACTGTCACTCGAATATGGGGCTTACCTCCCATTTTGCGTACCCTTAAACTCTAAGAGCCCTATACTGATGGAACCTAAGGATGCTTGAGCCCCAGACATTGCAAACTTTGAAAGCCCTCGAAGCCCAAGCGGCTGACTTCTCACAGATCCTCCAGAAGGTCATTGGACCCTCTTGTCTCCGATGATGGCAAGGTGGCCGGGTGCTGAGGCAATTGGGGATTGAGGGCTCGGAAGCCTGGATTCGAAGACTTCACACCATCCAGGCTTCGTACTGCACTCCTACCCCTCTAAGCCTGCTCGGAAATCTTGGACCCCTCCCCGAGACTCTCCCTCCCTCCCTCCCTCCCTCTCTGCTAAGGTCAGCAACGGAGCGGCAGTCGCCTGGCACTCAGAGCCCGCCAAAACTGAAGCTATCCATCCCAAGCCCTCAGCCCGTGAAAGGTCGATTCAAGCACTAGCCGGGATTCGAGCACTACCATTCAAGCACAAGGGTCGTTCGAGCACTGGCCGTTCAAGCACGAATTCCGGTTCAAACGTTGGCGATTCAAGCACTCTTGATTCACGCAAGCAGGCGGTTCAAGCACTGGCGACTTGCACCGGGGATTCACGCAAAAATGCAGTTCAAGCACCACCGATTAAATCGCCGGAATTTCCGTTTAGGGTTTAGGAGGTTTAGGGTTTGTGCCCTCCTCTTGTGTTCTTTAGTTACCTGTTTGCGTGCCTTTTTGCTGTCCTATTGGGGTCTAGTCCACACCCCTTGGGGCTCGTCCTCTCCTTTTGGCGTCTGGGCTTCACACTCAGACTTGATCATCTCCTTATGAGGTTCAGGGATGGGGGATGCACCATTCATGCCAAGCACCGAAAATGAAACACCACTCCAGCTCATACCATCTCTTAGGGCGCCGGTTCCGCACCTTTCTCCAAGATTCAGATTCTCGGGGAGAGTTTTCGTGGTGAAGAACTACCGGCACAAAATCCGCCGCGTACATGCGTGAATCCCCACCGCGTAAATCCACCGTGCCAATGCGCGAATTTAACTTGCCTTTTCGCAAAGCTGCTTCACCGCGCGAATCCCTGATGCACACAATCCTCCGCGGTGCGACAATCTGCCTCTTCAGTGCGCGAACCTGCCGCTTCCAGTGCGCGAAGCGTTGTCCAGCGCACGAAGCTGCCGAATCCAGAACTAATGACCAAAACTCCAATTAGCCCTTAACAATTCTCTAGATGGCTAGAAGGCAAAGCCCTCGGACCTAAAAACCCCAAAACCAACACCTTGAACCCAAGATTCCTTGTCCAAGGGTCTTTGAGATGTGCTTCTGAAACCAAAGTATCCTTTAACGCCCTGTCCGGCTTGTTGTCCTCGAACCTCAACAGCCTCACCATTGGAACTGAAGCGCAGGACAGGATCTCCAAGGCAGTAATTAAACAGTAGACTCATGAATCCACCCTCGACAAGGAACCACCTTCGGGACCGCAAGCGCCTGTCTAATCTTCCGGATTTACCCTGTCATCTGTTTCCACCTCCAAGATCTTCCCAAAAGCCCCATTAGTGATATAGACTTATAATGAAAATCTTCGCCCCAAAAATTGAGTGATTGAATATTAAGTTCGTGAGCCCCAAGCCGAGATGGCAAAGCCCGGCGCCTCAGGCCGTCAAACAAGAGACCGCTTCCAGCCAGCGAGGCGAAGCAGAAGAGGACTTTGCAAGTTCAACAAGAAGTCGGCTTCTTTGTTGGGGTCGGACCATCATGCCTGAACCAGAACCTTCAACCCGAAGCCCGCAACGTAGGGCTTCGGGTTGAAATTTGGGGTTTAGGCTTACCTGGAGTGCAAATAGGAGGTGGAAGGATCAGCGTATGGGGTTTCGGTCAACTGCGTGTGGCTGCGCTTTTTTGGGAGCCCAGACGTCCGGAGCGTCGGAGGTCGGCCTTCCTGACCTTCTAAAAACCTAAGCCGAACCCTAAATCCGAAGCCCCAAATTCAAACTCAAGAGATAAAACCCTAAACTGCACTCCCCCCCCCCCCCCCCCCCCCCCCCAGCATCCCAGAGGAGCCAAAGCGCACCATCAGCATCAGCAGCTCGCGCCGGGTCGGCGAGGTGCCACGCTTAGCCCCGCTCTTTGTTATTTCAGGAAGAGAAACGAGGGGTTGCTCAGGGTTCATCCGGACATAGGCAGTTTAGGGCTTAGTGTTGAGAGGTGTAGCACCAGTAGCCTCGATGCTCGACCTCAAAAAGCTAACCCTTCTGAAGACCCACTGTTTTACAAACTGAATTTGACCCATATCCGCTACCGTGCGAACGAGGAGCTAGAATCTCGAGCCACCACGGCCGACGAGGCTTTCCCGCCAGGTGCCGTTCTCGGCGTTGGGGCTGGAAGGTCCAGGTTTGGCGTTTCAGGGGCCTTGGTTTTTGACAAGAGTTGAAGGGTTGCTGGTTTG